ACACAAGCCTCTAGCTTCTTCATGATGTCATTCATAAGGCTGTTTTCTTCTGCTTCTTCCAATTTCTGATGTTCAGGTCTAGGTGTTGGAGGAGGGCTAGGGCCTGGTGATGCTGTATTGCTATTCATTTTGTTGTATATGTTTCTGCCTTGACGTCTGCCCATCTCCTTGTGCTTCGTTACTGGCCTTATCCGCACACTTGGTTCAGCCAGACCAGTGTTCCAAAAGGGAAGTCCGGAGCAAGATGGGAGCTGGGGGCCGGCCTCTAAGTCTCAGGAAGAGGCTTGGGGCTCAGGCGGATGGGCGTGGGGGCAGGGCGTGGAGACTGCAGGGCCTGCCAGGGGTCTTGGAGAAGGGGATCCTTTCCGGTGGGGCTAGCAGGGAACCTGCCCGGTGGCCAGAACCTGGGGCCAAGTTGGGCAGGTCTTCCCTGGAGTGGCTGGTGCCCAGGGATGGGGTCCGGGGCAAGGAAGGGCACTCACCAGTTTTCCAAAAGGGAAGTCCGGAGCAAGATGGGAGCTGGGGGCCAGCCTCTAAGTCTCAGGAAGAGGCTTGGGGCTCAGGGGGATGGGAGTGGGGGCAGGGCGTGGAGACTGCAGGGTCTGCCAGGGGTCTTGGAGAAGGGGATCCTTCCAGGTGGGGCTAGCAGGGAACCTGCCGGGTGGCCAGAACCTGGGGCCAAGTTGGGCAGGTCTTCCCTGGAGTGGCTGGTGCCCAGGGATGGGGTCTGGGGCAAGGAAGGGTACTCACCAGTTTTCCAAAAGGGAAGTCCGGAGCAAGATGGGAGCTGGGGGCCGGCCTCTAAGTCTCAGGAAGAGGCTTGGGGCTCAGGCGGATGGGCGTGGTGGCAGGGCGTGGAGACTGCAGGGCCTGCCAGGGGTCTTGGAGAAGGGGATCCTTCCCGGTGGGGCTAGCAGGGAACCTGCCCGGTGGCCAGAACCTGGGGCCAAGTTGGGTAGGTCTTCCCTGGAGTGGCTGGTGCCCAGGGATGGGGTCCGGGGCAAGGAAGGGCACTCACCAGTTTTCCAAAAGGGAAGTCCGGAGCAAGATGGGAGCTGGGGGCCAGCCTCTAAGTCTCAGGAAGAGGCTTGGGGCTCAGGGGGATGGGAGTGGGGGCAGGGCGTGGAGACTGCAGGGTCTGCCAGGGGTCTTGGAGAAGGGGATCCTTCCCGGTGGGGCTAGCAGGGAACCTGCCGGGTGGCCAGAACCTGGGGCCAAGTTGGGCAGGTCTTCCCTGGAGTGGCTGGTGCCCAGGGATGGGGTCCGGGGCAAGGAAGGGCACTCACCAGTTTTCCAAAAGGGAAGTCCGGAGCAAGATGGGAGCTGGGGGCCGGCCTCTAAGTCTCAGGAAGAGGCTTGGGGCTCAGGGGGATGGGAGTGGGGGCAGGGCGTGGAGACTGCAGGGTCTACCAGGGGTCTTGGAGAAGGGGATCCTTCCCGGTGGGCCTAGCAGGGAACCTGCCCCTGCCGGGTGGCCAGAACCTGGGGCCAAGTTGGGCAGGTCTTCCCTGGAGTGGCTGGTGCCCAGGGATGGGGTCTGGGGCAAGGAAGGGTACTCACCAGTTTTCCAAAAGGGAAGTCCGGAGCAAGATGGGAGCTGGGGGCCGGCCTCTAAGTCTCAGGAAGAGGCTTGGGGCTCAGGCGGATGGGCGTGGTGGCAGGGCGTGGAGACTGCAGGGCCTGCCAGGGGTCTTGGAGAAGGGGATCCTTCCCGGTGGGGCTAGCAGGGAACCTGCCCGGTGGCCAGAACCTGGGGCCAAGTTGGGCAGGTCTTCCCTGGAGTGGCTGGTGCCCAGGGATGGGGTCCGGGGCAAGGAAGGGCACTCACCAGTTTTCCAAAAGGGAAGTCCGGAGCAAGATGGGAGCTGGGGGCCGGCCTCTAAGTCTCAGGAAGAGGCTTGGGGCTCAGGGGGATGGGAGTGGGGGCAGGGCGTGGAGACTGCAGGGTCTGCCAGGGGTCTTGGAGAAGGGGATCCTTCCAGGTGGGGCTAGCAGGGAACCTGCCCGGTGGCCAGAACCTGGGGCCAAGTTGGGCAGGTCTTCCCTGGAGTGGCTGGTGCCCAGGGATGGGGTCCGGGGCAAGGAAGGGCACTCACCAGTTTTCCAAAAGGGAAGTCCGGAGCCAGATGGGAGCTGGGGGCCAGCCTCTAAGTCTCAGGAAGAGGCTTGGGGCTCAGGGGGATGGGAGTGGGGGCAGGGCGTGGAGACTGCAGGGTCTGCCAGGGGTCTTGGAGAAGGGGATCCTTCCCGGTAATGTGTCTGTTTTTAAGCCATTACCATGTTGCTTTTATTGCTATAGCTCTGTAGTACAATTTAAAATCTTTGATGGTAATACTTGTAGCAGTACTTTATTATTCAGAGTTGTTTTAATATCCTTTTTTTTCTTGTGTGTGTGTATGTTTCCATATGGAGATGAAACTTTTCTTTCAAGTTCTATGAAGAATTGTGTTGGAATTTTGATGGGGATTGCATTAAATCTGCAGATTGCTTTTGGTAGAAAGACCAGTTTTGCTATATATATTATTGATTCATGAGAATAGGTAATCCTTCTATCTTCTGATATCTTCTTTAGTGCCTTAAAGTTTTTATTATACAAATCTTTTGCTTTCTTGTTTAGAATTACCCCAAATATTTTTCTTTTATTTTCCTTCCTTTCTTCCTTTGTTCCTCCCTCCCTCTCTCCCTCCCTCCCTCCCCCCTCTTTTCTTTCTTTCTTTCTTTCTTTCTTTCTTTCTTTCTTTCTTTCTTTCTTTCTTTCTTTCTTCGTGTGGTATTGTTTCTCTGATTTCTTTCTCAGTGTGCTTGTGACTCGCATATTGGAAACTATAGATTTTCATGTGTCAATGTATTTTTTTAAACCAAACTACTTTGCTAAAAGTGCTTGTCGGTTGTAGAATTTTCATGGGGCAATTTTTAGGAGCATTCATCTATAAAATCATATGACACTGGGCAGTAGGGGTGCAGGCCTCTAATCCCAGTACTTGAGAGGCAGAGGCAGGCAGTCTCTGAGTTTGAGGTCAGCCGGGTCTACAGAGTGAGTTCCAAAAGAGCTCAAGTACTATACTGAGTAGGTACGGAGAGAGTGGACAACCTTTTCTTTATCCTGATTTTAGGGGAAATGCTTCAAGTTTTCTCTGCTTAGGTTGATGTTGGTTTTGGTTTACTGTAATTTGCCTTTATTATGCTGAGGTATGTCGCTTTTATTCCTAGTCTCTCCAAGTTTATTATCATGAAGGGTATTGGATTTTGTCAGTTTTTCTCAATCTAATGAGATGATCAGGTCTTTATCTTTCAGTCTGTTAATGTAGTGGATTACACTGATCAATTTACATAGGTTGAACCATTCCTGCATCCCTGAAATGAAGCCTACTTAATCATGGTGAATAATCATTTTTTATGGGTTCTTGCATTAAGTTCTTAAGTATTTTATTGAGAATTTTTGCATCTATGTTCATAAGGGAAATTGATCTGTGATTATCTTTCTTTCTTGGAACTTTATATAGTTCAGGTATCAGAGTAGTTGTGGCCTCATCAAAAGTATTTGAAAGTTTTCTCTTTAGTTCTATGTTGTGAAATAATTTGAGGAGTATTAGCCTTAATTGCTCTTTGAAAGTCTGATAGAACTCAGTTCTGAATCTGTTTGGCCCTGGGCTTCTTGTGGTTTGGGAAACTTTTAATTATTTCTTCTATTTCACTGTGGGTGGGTTGGTTCTGTTTAAATCACTTATTAGGTCTTGATTTGACTTTGTAAGGTTGTATATATCAATAAAATTGTCTTTCTTTTAGAGTTTCTAATTTGGTGAAGTACAGGTTTTTAAAGTACATCCTTATCTCTGGATTTCCTCAGAGAAATCTGTTGTTATGTCTCCCTTTTCATCACTAATTTTATTAATTTGAATCTTCTCTCTATCTTGTGGTTAATTTTGCTAAAAGTTCATCAGTGTTATCTATTTTCTCAAAGACTCAGCACTTTGGGTTGCATTGCTTCCCATACATCAATGAATTTGATTTATCATTCCACTCACTTGTTAGGGGAACCTACCATGTTTCACCCATGTACTATATTTTGCACTTAATGAAAAGACAAAAAAAAATATAACCAGCCTATTTATTCTAATAGTGTTTGTAGAATAAGCTGACCTAAAAATAAGTGATAGGAAAGAAAAAATAAATGAAGAGAGTCCAGAGGAGTGAGGAATCTTCACGATCCCCAGGGTAGAACTATCCAGGGAGGTGGTACTTGAGAAATGAATAGCCTGAAGAAAGTGGCTGTGTAAAGCTATGGGAAGGAATCTCAACATGTACAGGGGCCAGAAGAGGAAATTTACCTGATGTTTCTCACTTCTCCAAGATTGTGAGTGTAGCTCGAATAGGTGAATGATACAGGAAACGACAGCATAGGACAAGGAAGGAGAAAGTATTTCAGGCACTTTTAGGTCCCAAGAGAAACTTTGAATTTCAAAGAATCAAATGGTTTTGAACACACTGAGAGCAAGGGATTTATATTTGAACACATAAAATCACACACACACACACACACACACACACACACACACACACATTTATACTCATATTAACTGGTATAATCCCATAACTTAGGAGACCACAGTAGAGATATCTCAAATTTGAGACCAGGCTTGGCTACATAGAGAATTAGACCTTACCTCCTAAACACAAAATCTGCTCTGATGTGAGAAGGTTGTAAGGAGCAGAGGATCAGGGAAGGAGAAAGGATGGATAATGTATACATAGCTGGAATAGCTGTAGAGAGGGAAGGGCAGGGAGAGATAAAATGGAGAAAGTCATCAGCTTTATAGGCTTACATTATTAACTTCTGAGCAGACAATTCATAACTACCAATGGGGTTTTAAAGAAAACAATAAAGCATTTAGATGAGTGTTACACAAAATCTCTGCTTTAAATATCTCTGCTTTTCATGTCTTTCTTATAAGATACAGGAAATTTAATAAACACTCTTTGCTACATTTTTAACTGGTTAGGTAGAAACTAGAACAGCAGAAGGAGGAGAAGGTGCAAATTCAAAATACAATCCCTTGTATGAAACAACTTTTGATGAAGAAGCATCTGCCCAGTCCTTCCGGGAAGCCTTAAATCAGTGGAGAGCTGGACATCAGGAGGGAAACACACAACAGAACTCACATGCAACAAAACCAGGTATGGGCATTGTTCAAACCTTCATATAACAAAATAAAACAATCTTCATTTCTTTCCACTCCTGGCAACACAAATGCAATGCTTAAAAACAATAAAGAGCAATTTGCTAAAGTTTCTCAAGGGAGCTTTGTGTACACACTAGGCAGTCAGTGGTGAGTTATTTAATATTTATAAAGCATGGATTGACCATGGGGGATGTTTACTTTGGTTTTCTATGTAAATTCAAATCATCAGATGAATGGAGCATTGAAGTCTCAGCTTTTCTTTTCCTGAAAGGAAGCGGTTTTTAGAAAATAATTCTATTTTAGATCTACTTTTGCAGTATATCAGGTTGGGGAGTCTGTGTGGCGGGAAAACAAGTGACTCTTTCTATGTATTAGATCAGGAACATTTCTTTTCAGTGTGACCAAATCTCTGGCAGAGTCACCTAAAGGAGGAACAATTTATTTTGCCTCACAGTTGGAGATGATACAGCCCATCAAAATAGGGGAATACAGCAGCAGGTGGCTTCAATGCCACAGGGGCAGATGGTGGGACTCCTTATTTCTTACATCACTGTAGAACAGATAGCAAAGATAAGACAGGAAGGAGAATCGTGCTACACACCTCACAGTATGCATCCAGGAGATTTACTTCTTCCAGTGAGCCCTCAACCTCCACAAATTGCACAGCCTCCAAAACAACACTGTGAACTGAGAGGGTGGGAGAGCAAATGTTTCCATGTAAACCATGAAACTATAACTTACAGGTTGACTATATGACCACAGTGATCCTCATAGGAAGGATAGATTTTTGTTTGCAATATTTTTTCTTTCCTTTAAAAAAAATCTCTTCACATTTTTTTTTTTAGTTTGGATTTTCGGTTCACATATAAAATAATGGGTTTCTTTATGACATATTCATACAAACTGTACCAGCTAGTTTTTTTTTTTTTTTTTTTTTTTTTTTTTTTTTTTTTTGTCAATTTGACACAAGCCAGAATCATTTGAGAGGAACAAACCTCAGTTGAGCAAATACCTCCATTACAATTGGACTGTAAGGCAAGTCTATAGGGCATTTTCTTAATTAGTTACTTGTAGTCAGAAGTTTTCCTGTGTCCCACCCATCCCACAGCTGCTCAGACAAGTAAACACACAGAGGCTTATATAATTAAGAACTGGATGGCCTATGGCTCAAGCTTCTTACTAGCTAGCTCTTATATCTTAAATCAACCCATTTATATTAATCTATGTTTTGCTACTTGTTCTGTGGCTTTACTGGTATGCTGGCATGTTGTTCCTTGGGAGGCAGGCTGGCGTCTCTCTGCCTCTCCTTTCCCTTCCTGTCTGTCTGCTTGGATTTCTTGCCAGCCTCTAAGCTGCTTTGCTATAGGCCAATGCAGCTTTATTTATCAACCAATCAGAGCAACACATATTCACAGCATACAGAAAGACATCCCACTGCAGTTATTGATGTAGGAAGGCCCAGCCTATTGAGAGTGGGGGCATTCTAAGCTGGTTCTGTAAGACAGAAGGCTGAGCATGCCATAAGGAGCAAATGTCTAAGTAGCATTTACTCATGGTTTTTACATCAGTCAGCTCCTGCTTCCTGGTTCTTGCCCTGACTTCCTTCAATGCTGAAGAGTAGAGTGTAAGTGAAATAAACACTTTCTTTTGTAGATTGTTTTTGATTCATCACAGCAATAGTAACCCTAAAATAGCCTCTGTATGAGTAGACTATAACCGGGATATGCTATGAAGAAAAGACAATGCCTAGAACTTCAAAAACATACTTAAATTCCAACTTGCAGTGTTTTGTGGTTTTTTTAAAGTTTTTTTTTCATTTTTCAAAGCAACTATAGGTCCCCCTCCCTCCCCTCCTTCCTCTACTCCGTACCTCCCCCTGACCTTACCCCTCACCTACTCCTTAGAGAGGAGGGTAAGACCTCCCATGGGGAGTCAACAAATTTTGGCATATCAAGTTGAGGCAGGATCCTTTTTGAGTTTATAATGGTTTATTACACATGAAGTGAAAGATGCAGCCTTGTTTTAGTTCTTTTTCATATTAGGTGCATTGGAAATATTTCCTTATTTCTTTTTACATAAATATTGAAAGAATCTTGCGTTTTAAGTTTTAGAGTAGATATAAAAGTTGATACATTAGTCCGCAAGTACAACATCCTAGAATTTCCTCGCTTCCCCAAGCTTTTATATACTAAAATGAAATGCCTAAAGCAACTATGTTTTGGGGGATTATAAACAATGTTGTAATCAATGCTTATTAAGTGCAAAAGATAATATTCAGAGGATGACTAAACCTCCATGAAGCTATCATACTAACCATAATTGCTTTTTAGATTCTGTATCTTTACTAGAAAAAGTACCGCACTATTTGCAACTGAAGAGAAGTCCTCGACCTACTTCAGAGCTTCATAAACAATTGCTGTAAGCAAGTTCAGCTAGTCAACCTTCTGAATAGAATAAGAAAAAGGTCGTAGACAACAGACAAATCAATGAGTGTACTGTGTTGCCATAAAACCTTGTATTTATGAACACAGAAATTCGGTCATAGGAAAATGATAGGTCAGATTTGGACTACAAGCTCTAGTGTGTTGATCCTTGACAAACTAAATATTTTTTTCTATTTATGTTACTAGATATAATCAGAACTAGTGCTATAGTTCATGTGGCAGGGTTAGGATGTCCCTTCACTGTCTAATTCCAGACTTACATTATCTGTCTCAGGTTTTGTAGCATTGTGTAGTCTGCAACATGTTTGTTTCCTTGAATCTACTCATAGGCATTGATTGGGCCATTAGATGGATGTCATGAGGCTAATTTGTTGAGCAGGAAACAATTATCTCACAGTAAGAATGGTTATACTGATCATTCATTTTTTTTTAATCATCAAAGCTGCAGTGATTTATCTTCATGGAAAAATACACATTTCAGATACAGATTTGCTTATGCTTCCTGCGGTGTATGTTCTTTGTAAGCCTTATTTATCACCATGGTATCCTCAGGAAACTGCCTCATATCAAGGCAGTTGTACTATGAGAGAAGTGCAGCTACATCCATTGAATTCAGTGTTCTTACCATGTGCCACATTTCATGCATGAAAATGTGTATGATTGTAATTCACCTATTTTCAGTGTTTACTAATCTCCTATTACGTGAATATGCCACCATTTCTCAATTGAAATGTTAGTCATTGTTTGGAGCATTTCTCATATTGACCATGCTAAACAATACTACTATACATTTTCTTGCACAGGTCTTGCAGTTCAACCTTCACATATTTCCAGGGATGCCAGTACTTGAGAGTAGAACAGCTGTGTTATTAGAAATGTATGTCCTCCACTAAACTAGATAAACCCAAACTAGTCAGAAAAGTACTTTCAACAATTTGCACTCCATCTGAAGTGTGTAAGAGTTTTTGTTGTTCCCCTTATCACCAACGCTTAATATTTTCAGATACTTACAATTTTGCTTTAAAAAGGAGATAAATATTATGCTTAATATGTATACCTTTTATTACAAATTACATTAAATATCCTTGTGTTTAGTGGCCATGTAGTGTGTCAATGTCAGTTTGCTTTGAATTTCCAGGTTCTCCAGCTCTTTTGGTCACTGATTTCTACCTTAATTCATTCTAGTCATCCACAGACTCCTTTAGGTGCTTTTGTCGGCCCTGGGCTTTTATGTGAGCCCATGCCCTTTTCTCTCTGATGTCTCTTGCTGAGATGTTCCCATTGGCTTGTTTGGCTTCCTCGCCTGAGTGATCCTCAAATGCTTCAGGCATCCATTTACTTTAAGACTTTTGTGCTGTGGAGTAAAGAAAATACCCGTGATCTCAATGAGGTGGATGTTAGACAAATTCCTAGAAAAGGAGGCTGCTGAGCCAGAAACAAGGCAAGCAAAGCCCAAGTGACAACTCACGAGGTCTTGTTTTGAGGAAGCCACACCTCATAATTCTGCTGGATGTCTTTGAATTGACTAGCGTTCATGATTTTAAACGAGGTACCTTGCTGAATGCACACTTAGCTAAAGATTCTTCTTCCAGCAATCATGTGTTTGTTATTAGCCACGGTTATCAAAGACACTGGTAAGTAGTGGTATTTGCTCCGCCCATGATCTTGGGCTGTAGAGCCCTAGGGATGTGGTGCTTCCTGCCCTTGTACTTGATCTCTTAACTGATAAGCCAGGCCAGGACTTGTCTTTATTTCCTGAGATTGGGCCACAGGTGAGTGGAGAAAAGTGAGCCACAGGGTACTTGCTGTAGCCTCCCCCCGACCCCGTTCTTTTTTCAGATTTGGGAGTCGTTTCTCAAGCACAGCGGTTCTTATCTCTGAGAACCAACCTATGTGCTCCCTTCCTTCTTTCTCCCTTCAGCTTTTCTGTCTCAATTCTTTGTGTGCACATGCACACACACACACACACACACACACACACACACACACACACACCCCTCTCCTGCCCCTTCCATCATATGTTCATATTCACAATTCAGATTCTTAATTCTTTATTCTCTTGCTTCTTTCATTTATTAGATTCTAGTTGTTACTGTCAAGATTTCTTCTCTCCTTTCCTCAATACTACAATACTCTTGGGAGGATAGAAGTTGAGTAACTCTATTCTTTTGGCTTGTTCAGCTGCTGTCATTTGCCCTTCCTGGACGCTAACCCTAGAGTTTAGGTTAGGACTAGATAAGTGTTAGAATCCCTCAAAATTTTGTTTTTAATCTTTACCATTTCCTTTTCTTATTTTTTTTCTAGCATTTTATCATGGGGGATGTTGCAAGCTAGAGAGGGAGGCTGTATCTGGGGTTTGGAAAGGCTGACAATCCCGGAATTATCGGCTTATTGGCTCCCTTCCCTCAGAAGCTTCATCACTTTCAAGTAGCTCTGAGTAATTTTGTAGTTTGTGGTACTTCAGAAATAATAGCATGTGCATTTGGGTGCACATGACTTCAAAGGCAAAAGTTTGTGGGAATCCATATTCTCTTCACTCTGAATAAGATATAATTCATTATGAATCACTTATTTTCTATTACCCATAACGTGTAAATATTATGAGAAGTGGCTGTAATATACACCTTAGTTTGTACATGTGTCTGCTGTGCGTATGGAGTGTATAGTGACTGTATTTACCTTCCTCATTTAAGAAAATGTTGCTTTTAAAAAGCTTTAGACTTATAAGATCCCTTTGTTTCAAGAGATTCTGAAGATATTGTCCACAGAATCACTTATTCCAATGTTTTAGAGACCCTTTAGTATTATTTACATCTTAGACTTGATATTATATTACTATCATTGTTCATAACATACTAATAACAAATATAATTTTAGGGACAGTTACCAGAGAACTGATCTCCACAAACAATTGGCTATCTAAAGAAAAGATATGATAATTCATAGGCATGGCTACATTAATTATATGCAGTGTTTATTTTTATAGACTCAGTGGAAGAATGTGAAGTACAAACTAATTTGAAAATTTGGACAGAACCAATAAATATTGAATTTACAGAAGACAGTCTGTCCTACATGGAAAAATTATGGCTTAAAAAACACAGAAGGTATGTAGTAGAATTTTAATATTATTCTTTGTTAAGAAGTACAAGTTGTGTTTCTTGTTTGGGGGGCATGGCTTTATGAAGTAATTTTGTATGTATATTTCTTATTTGTATAGCTAATTTTAAAGCTATTTTAGTTCCTATGAAGCTTTGACTATATTAGCAACAATTTTAATTACTTATATTTATATATAAACACATATATGCTATTTTTAATCTTGAAATATAAAAAGATATATATCTGGAGAAAGCACAAATAAAAGTATGGGATTTAAGAATAATAACAAAAGCATGCAATAAATAAAAATTTACTTTAAAAAGACTTCCTGGCTCGGTGTGGTGGTGGTGCACACCTTCAATCCCAGCACTTAGGAGGCAGAGGCAGGCTGATCTCTGTGAGTTTGAGGTCAGCCTGGTCTACAGAGTGAGTTCCAGGATATCCAGGGCTATACAAGGAAATCCTATCTAAAAAAACCAAAACCAACCCCCCTCAAAAAAGAAAGAGACTGTGCTGTGTTTTAGCATAGATATTTGAGGCTTTATTTTATAAATCTATTAAATTAAAACAGATCTTTTAAATTAATTTAAAATAAATTTGATCTTTAATTTTATATTTTTATTAATTCTAATCAGTTTATTTCATTCAAAGACCTATGGTCAAATACATGGTTCTTTAATTTGTTTAAAAAAATCAAACTTGCAATATGAAATCAACATTATAGACAAGTAGATGTTGTCATCATTGGAATTTTAACAAAATATAGGCCCAGACAGTCTCTGGCATGGCATGGTATAAGCTCAATTTGTTACACAGTAGAGATGCCCACACTTCACTGTTCCTTCCAGTTTTCTAAGGGTTGGGGAAAACATTCTTTAGTAGGTCTGATGCTAAGTGCAGAGTTTCCACAGTTCCGATGCCTCCTGAGTGACATGGGTGCTACGATGGTGGCCTTGATTCACATTTTGAAGGACAAAATGCTGGAGAAACTCTCTAGAATGCAGGTGAGAAGTGAACACAAGGCCTGTGCTTCATCAGGGAAAAAATAATCCTGTTTTGTGAGGTAGCCCATTTCACCTTTGGCACGTTCTCAAACACGTTTCTTGTGAGTGGTATTCTGTCTCCAACAACTTTCTAAGCCTAGTCATGATTCCACTTTGCTGTTCCATTGATGATTTCCTAGTTCTTTTGCATTTAAAAAGTGAGTTCTTCAAGGAAAGGTGTTATTTTTCTTCTTTTCTGTTTAAGTAGTGCCTAAGTGAGTGTGTGCGTTGGCTGGGGTGGTGGGGCATCTGCAGGAGCATGGTCAGACTGCCAGGGACCACATCCCTAAAGAGAACCAGCTCATCCTCCCCTAGCAGCTATCAACTTTCAATAGCTGATCAACTAGGGTAGGACTCCTATGCCCCTCTCCCATGCCATCTTCTTTCCCAACTGGCATGTTTACTAGTTTGATCTTATACAAGTCTTATGTAAGCAAACACAGCTACCCTGTACTTATGTATATAATGGCCCTGTCACCCTTAGAATACATTGTTTCTTCCCAGTTTCCCCTAAATTCTGTCTTCTCTTCCATATCGTTCTCTTAGCCTTGGGAGGAGGGAGCATATGGTAGATGTCCCACTTATGGCTGAACACTTCGGCCATTGCTGAGTCTTTTTTAACTCTTTTTTTTAACTGTTGCTCACTGTACAAAGGAGCTTTTCTGATAAAGAATGAAGGCTGAATTAATCTATGGACAAAAAGAGATCTGTGTTTAGAAAATAGCTAAATACAATAATAGCAGTGGGAACTTTCCTAGGGCTAGGAACTCAGTTATAAGAACTTGGACAGATTTATTTTTTATTTAAATGGATTTATATTAATAATATTGAGTATGAGGGATAGATAAATAAGTCTGGGAAGTGTCTATGCTATAAACATGAGAACCTAAATTTAATCTGCAGAACCCACATAAAAAAATGCTGTGCATAGTCGAAAATATTAGTAATCCTAGTGCCATGGAGGCAGAGACAAGCAGATCTTTGGAATTCATTGACTATACAGGCTAGCCTCTACTGGGCAAGGTCAAGACGAGGAAAGGTCAAGGCCAGTGAGAGACTATGTACAACAAAATGGAGGAGAGTTAAAAAATGACACCAATGAATGGCCGGCCTTCTCATATCCCAACACACATGAGCAAACGGAAGCATATACTTGTTTATAGAAAACACACAGTCATACACACAGGCATGAACAAAACTATTTCAATAAAAATTTGTTATATTTTATAGAAGAGAAGATGAAAAGGTGACTACTGTTATAAAAGATGTTTTCACCTTTATTTATGTGACATGGTTCTGTGTGAGGTGCCAGGGTTGGAATAGCAGAAGTCAAGACTTAGTGTACGGATAACTAGTTGCTTATTCATGGGCAAAGCACTTAAATTTTGTTGGTATAAGTTTTCTCAAATATATTAATACTGAATTTAGAATAACTAATCTGTAGTGCCCCGACACTTTAACCTTGCTATCTGGATTCTGTAAGTCTTTAATTAAAAAATGAAGATGAAAACACAGTTAGTTTGTTTCACGAAGTACTTGGATAACAGTTTATTTGTACTTATGTGTATGGAGAGGGAGTTATTAGCACAATAAAGGAATATCAAGTTATGAAACAGTTTCTGGTGATGAAATGCCAGTTTCCCTTTGATCTTTTATTTAATATTCTTTTTATTAATTAAAAATATTTACTTAATTTACGCCCTGACTGCAGTTTCCCCTCCCTCTTCTGTTCCCATTCCCTTCCCCATCTCCCATCTTCCCTCCCCCACCCCTCAAATCCACTCCTTCTCTGTTCAGAAAGGGGCAGTCCTCCCATGGATATTAGCAAAGCGTGGCATCATCAAGTTGAAGTAGGACTAAGCACCTCCCCTTGTATTAAGGCTGGGCAAGTCAACCCAGTATGAGGAATAGGTTCCTAAGAGCCAGCCAAAGCATTAGTGACAACCCTTGTTCCCACTGTTAGGAGTCCCACAAGAAGACCAAGCTACTAAACTATCACATATATGCAGAGGGCCTAGGTTAGTTCTATATGTGCTCCTTGGTTGTTGGTTCAAACTCTGCAAATTTCTATAAGCCCAGTTAGTTGTGTCTGTGGGTTGTTTTTTTGTTTTTTGTTTTTTGTTTTTTTGATATTTTCTTGGCCTCTCTGGCTCATATAATCCTTCCTCCCCCTCTTCAGTAGGATACTCTGAGATCAAGTCCTATGAAGGCTCCATGGTTGTGGGTTCAGTCTCTGTGAGCTCCTATGGCCCAGGTTAGTTGATTTTGTAGGTTTCTTATGATGTCCTTGACCCCTCTGGCTCGTACAATCCTTTCTTCAGCAGGATTCCCTGAGCCTAATGTTTGGCTGTAAGTCTCTGCATCTGTTTCCATAAGTTACTAGATGAAGCCTCTCTGATGACAACTGCGGTAATAACCAATCTATGAATATAGCAGAATGTCATTAGGCATCATTACATTGACATTTTTCTTTTTTGCCAGTAATGTTTGGTTCTACCCTAGAGACATTACATTGACACTTTTTTCTAACCATGTTTGGTTCTACCCTAGGTCTCTGGTCTATCCAGCCTCTGGATACTGGAACCCTAGGCATTGTCAGGGGTAGGTTCACTCTTATGGCCATGGGCCTGAGGCTGGACCAGTCATTGGTTGGGCACTCCCATAATCTCTGTGCCATCCTTATCCTAGTACATCCCATAGGCAAGACAGACTATAGATCTAAGGTTATGTAGCTGAGTTTGTGTCCCAGTCAGGACATGGCTAGTTCAGGTTATATATACACCATTGCTAGGAATATTAGCTGGGAATCCTTGTAGATTCCTGGGAGTTTCCCTTTCATCAGGTTTCTCCCTGACTGAAATGCCCATTCATTTTCCAGGCATCTCTTTCGACACTCTCCCCCTTAGTCCATCCCCAACCTGATCCCTCATGTTCCCATCCCCACCCACTTCCAGTCCACTCAGGAGTTCTCCCTGGGAAGGGGACACAGTGTCTGTGCTACTATTGTTCTATTCAGAAAGTTGTCTCCTGTGCCAATGTGTTCAAGGCTATTTCCCAATTTGTCTTCTATCAGGTTCAGTATAGCTAGATTTATGTTGAGGTCTTTGATCCAGTTGGACTTGAGTTCTGTGCAGAGTGATAAATGTAGATCTATTTGTATTCTTCTATAGGCTGGCATCCAGTTATTAGCTATTATAACACCATTTGTTGAAGATGCTTTCTTTTTTCCATTGTATAATTTTGGCTTCTTTGTCAAAAATCAAGTTTCCTCAATACAATTTAAATTATTTGTGGCTAATATGAAGGATGTTGTTTCCTTGATTTCTTTCTTAGTCCATTTATCATTTGTATATAAGAGGGCTACTGATTTTATTCGTTTAGTTAATCTTGTTTCCTAGCTACTTCACTAAACATGTTTATCAGATGTAGGAGTTCCCTGTAGAATTTTTGAGGTTGCTTATGTATACTATCATCTGCAAATATAAATCACTTAGTTAAACTCTGGGTAGGAGGATTCTCTAAAAGTTTTTTTTTAAATGTAAAGCTCAGTAATACAAATATTTTGTAGTTATGCAATTTGTACAATATATTAGAAAATACAGCTGGTATATTTACAAGTAGGAAACTAGGTACTGCAAAATAAGAACATGGCGAGGAATGTGTGCTTGAGAAGGCAAGGTCCTCAGATTCCTGCTCTTGCTGTGTTCTCTGCCTAAGTGACTTAGAACAACTAAGTTCTCCACTTTCCCCACTCAATTTCATCTTTAAAAATGAGCATCATAGTAAAGATTATTTAATCAAATACTTAATAGCATTGAATGGACCAAAAGTAGTTAGAGCAAAAATGGGCAAACTATAACTTTGTGTTGACATTAACAGTATCAGTAAGCCAGGCTTATCTTTTACATGGCAAACGTGTGAGCTTGCATGATCTGTGAGAGTGGTATAGCTATTTATATTTGACTCAAAAATGAACTTTTTCCTCACAAATCTCTGAACATTCTTTAGAATTAAATACACACTCTTGAACTCTGAGAATTCTCAAGTTTCATGTTTCCCTTTGAAGTAGGCTGCAACCATCCTAGATGTTAATTAGGTAATAGATGCCACAGACATTACATCTCACATTCTTATAATGGGACCCCAATTTACCACTCTCCTGGTGTGCTGAAAGTTTAGATAAGTGCCCCCAGGATGCCTTAGAATTCATTAACATAGTGCCACATGTGAGATAAAACATACACTTGCAAATTAGCTTTGTCAACATCATGGCATGTTTTTTGGACTCAATGAATATTGACTTGTATGGTGACTTTGGTTTTCATCTTAAACAAAACACAATATGCAATTGAAAAACTCCTTGGGTAATGTGGAATTGATTTAAAAACTTTCATTAAATTGGAATTTTGTTAATCATAATAATCTGTGAATTAATGCTATGTTCAAAATTTCATCATTAATTTTGAATTCTCACTTGACAAGTAAATATCTAGTCTGGGGAAGTTGCATTGATGTTTTTCTCTTTTAATTGCATCTTTGTTGGTTTGCAGAACTCCACAGGAGCAACTTAGGAACATACTACCAAATACATTCCCACATCCCCGTGAAGCTACTATGGAGGAACAGAGCTCCCCGGAAGAAAATGATGCTGATAGTGACGGTCAGTTGAGCTTCAACTAGATCTTTTAACACTTATTTTTAAAATTGTATAAATAAGCAGTTATTAACAGATGTTTTTAGCTTTTGTCCATGTATCATTCTGATCTTGAGTATGAAAATCCATCTCTCTTTATTTGTTATAGTACCTTGCTTTAACTTAACTAGCTTCATTTAAAAGATACATGCAAGAAAATGTGTGTTTTGCCTGAACTGAATGAATTGGTAGTGTTTCCATCTTTGTGTTGATTCATGAAAGACTGTTCTTTTATTGTTGACAGTATTATTTCTAGATAGCAAATTATCAGACATGTTCTTTGCTAATATTGTTTTCTAATTTTACTTCCTAGTTGAGGAGATCAAAGTAAAATATCCACCTCTTTTTATGCCAGTAGAAAAAGTGAATATAGAGAGGCCTCCGCCATCTCTAACGATAGTAGAACTGGATGGTGTAAGTATATAATGGTCACTCAAAATCTTTAACATAGAATATGTGCAATAGTGATTTCTTCTTATTATTATTATCAGTAAGATTTTGTTAAAAATTCATCAGTGATTAAGAAGAATTTTATATTTGGATTCCAGGTTGTTGATAAATATAAAACTATAAGTTTTATTGTAGAGAGCAGATGTATATACTAACTAAACTTTGCCACTTTTTTGGAAGCATGCATCATGGGGTGTCAGAAAATCTTCTGCTGTGTTAGCTAATAGAGTACAGTTTTGGTGTCTCTTTAGCTCTTAATTTTCTCAGGCTTTACAAAAAGGTGAGTTTCATTACATGGAATCTTATTTAAATATACTTAGGTATAAATGTAGTTTCTAGAATGTCATTAATATTATTTCCCTTTAAAGGAAAACATGGTGTTTATGATTTAAGAAAGTTTTTTTTTTTTTTTTTTTTTTTATAATAATGTCACCACATTGCTGGAAGTTACAATGGAACCAGAGACAGCCAAACAGAGTTCAATCCAAATGACTCAGATGTGATCCCGTCCCTGCATTTTGACTTCCTAGTTACCTAATAGTTGAATTACCACTTTTCCCAAAACATTCTGACTCTTTGGATGGCTATTTCAGAAATCCATAAGAATGTAGAGCCAACCTCTTTTTTCTTCTATGGCCACTGGATTGATAGCTGCTGCAGCTTTTCTTTCTTCTATTAATGCTTTGTTTATTCTCTAAATAAGTGGGAGATATTAGTCTAATACACATACATACATACACCTTCACACACACACACACCACTCATTACAATCATTACAATTTTGATTCTTTGAATAAGCTGGAGAAATGACAGTAAGGAAGCTGGAAAAGTGGTAGTCACTAATCTACTGGGATTGACAGTTGTTACATAAGTTGCTATTATTGGCCCCAGACAATGACAATTGTAAAAATTGAATAAAACATTTAGTACCCTCAAGGAAGAACAGTTGAATTTGGTTTGTGTGGAACATGTGTGATATAACAAACTACAAAGTCATCTGCAGGAAGATATTATAAATATCACCCACAATTAACTGACTAGTGAACTTATTGAGGATACTAATATTATGTAACATGTATTTAATAAGACTCATGAAGCAGAATGTGAAGAACCAGAGAATGCTGTGCCTTACAGAGTTGAATTAGCTGATGCCGAGAGTCAGTTAAGGTAAGATTTTTCTCATTCACTTTGGTTACTCTGTAAACACCAATCACAAAGTGCAGGGTCATAGTAGAGTGGTAGGATGTTTGCTTAGCATGCATGAGGCCATAGGGTTGATCTGATCTATAGTATAACAAAAAGTGATAACAACAACTAAAATACAGCCACGGAAATATCATCCATCTCTCTCGCTGGGAAATTCATGGTGCTTAAATGCTTTTTAATGTTAAATTTACTTAAGTCATGCAGGAATTTCTACACATTATTTTTTACGTATTTATAAAATTAAATTGCAGTTTTGTCTATATTTGTATTACTTTATATATTCTTATGAATTTAGTGATTGTCATCATTTGAAGTAGTTTTCCAAGTCACATATAGTTTATATCAACCTTCTTTTCTCTAAAGATCCTATTTGATTGTACTTTCTTCTGAACTCTAAAATAAGAAGTTATATAAATGATCAGGTTCAGGAGACCCCGCCCCCCCCCCCCCCCCCCAGTCTAATACTGCTCTCATTGCAAAGCCTAATATGTGATTGGGAAAAGAAGCACAGTAGTTCACTTTGTAACTGCTTTGTGCTATTTTGTCATTTCCAGATGAATAATAAAATCTATTTTTTATGTTAGTAAAGTTAAATATTACCCGCTTTCTGTGAACTTTTGAATTTCTGGGGTTGAGTAGCAAATGCTCGATGTGACTCCGCAGTGGGATGGACCTTCTGTTGAGCACCTCCTTAACTGGTGCTTCGTTCAGATCAGCTTCTGCCCTTCCCAGTGTGTTATAGCAGCTCTGAGTCTAAGTGACACCCTGGAACTCCAGGCAGCTCTTTGTCTGAACACAGGCACTCAAATACTGAACAACAAAGGTGCAGTTGGTAGGGAGGTTTTGATAGGAGACAGCTTTCTGATCAGTCCTTGAGAGGCTAATATCTCCTACTGTGTTTCCTTAAGGAAATGAAAGATACTCCTGCTTGCTACGTAAAAAGACCTAGTGATTAAGTTGGTAATTGTCCTATGCATCTAAGTTTCTGTGTGCTGTGTTTGTGTTTGTTGGCATATACTGGCATCTGGATCTCAGAGGACAACTTGTAGGTCTGGGTTCTCTCCTTCTACCATATATGTTCTGGAGATGGAACTCAGGTCCTAAGACTGTAACAAGTCTTCTCACCCACTGAATCATCTTACTGCCCCCTGTTTTTGTTCTTTAATATACATTATCCTATGTCTCCTTTGACCCCTGGGTAAAGTGTTAGGATTGGTGAAGAAAACTACCCATTACGGTTTGACATTACTCTCACAGCATTGACTTGAAGGTACCCATAGAACTATACTCTCTCTCTCTTTTGTTTTAATCACGAGTGACCTAAGATGATATTTTGGTTAACAGTAATCTGTGAGTTTTATGATATAGAATTTATATAAAAATCAGGTATTGCTTAGTCTGTAGTGAATGTGACAGTACAGCTGTGTATGTAGATAATACCCATTGTTGGCAACTGTAATATAGTACTACATACTGCTTTTAACTTTCACCACTGAAGAGGGCACAGGTATGTTCATGACATACTGAGATTATAACTCTACCAAATTTCAATGTTCTTAAAAGATGTCAGAAATCAAACATATCAACATAATGTTAAGTAGGAAATTTCTATTAAAATTTTGCAATATAGTTGCAGTTAATTATGTCATATATTTTATACATAATACAATTTAGCTTATATTGTGTAGACTGTTTAAATTTAAAACCAATACTATAATATTTTTTATTGGGTTTTTTTTTTGAGACAGGGTTTCTCTGTGTTGTTTTAGTGCCTGTCCTGGATCTCGCTCTGTAGACCAGGCTGGCCTCAAACTCACAGAGATCCTCCTGGCTCTGCCTCCCAAGTGCTGGGACTAAAGGTGTGTGCCACCACCGCTGGGCTTTAAATTATAATCTTATGTAATTAATAAACCAGAACTTTCAGAGACTATTCCTTTCAACTCGTTCTTTGTGCTTGTCCCTAAACATGAAGTTCTACAATTCCTGATTATCGGAATTGCTTTCCACGTGAAAATGACATCCATCAGCACCTTGTTTTCAACAAGGTAACAAAAGACCTCTTAAGTTTTTGTTTGAGAACGAATTCTGCATACCATAAGGATGATTTCAAAGGTGATGTTCTACATTTTACTTAATATATCTTAATAATGAATGTTGGTAGTTTAATAAGACCAATGGATATAGTGGTTCAGGAACATTTTGCTTATTGTTCTGTTCATTATAAAACCAGAAAAATTGATAGTTGGAAGAAAATTGGTTGAGAACCTATCATTCTCTTGCAAATAATCTTTTTAACCAGTAGGTAACAGTGTTGTATTTATAAGCAAATGTGGGGCTCTATACAATTTATTATGGGCTAAATTAGCATTTTAAAGTTTACATAAGCCAAGTCTTTGTGATGAAAGTCTGATCAGTGTTTCATTGCCTTTACATACAATTAAATAGCTCGCCATAATCACATATCATGTGAAGTTCATATGACATAAGTCCTATGCCCAACAAATCACTCAGTTTTTATTTCTGTGATATCATTCCTTATAGTTCTTTTGAACTTTGTAGATCTGAATGCTGTATAGAAAATTTTGGGCTTTCCTGGCCTATGATTGAAGATCTCTATCTACAGATACACACTGAAGTGTCCTGACCTGGTCATCAGATTCAATTTTCATATCTGCCCCTCAATCTGTGTCACCTTGAAATGTCATCATCTTTTTCTGACTTTCTTTTACTAATGTGCAATTTAGTTACTAAATGATTTTTAAGCTTCTTTTCAAATATTGTATTTTATAAATCTAAGATTTTTCAGGAAAGCAGAAAGTATATCTCTGAAGAATTTGAGTGATACCCAAGGGCATTATTTAAAATAACTGATTTAAGTCTGATAATAACCTGACTGGCTAGCAGAAGGGGAAGAAGACTGGTGACTTCATGCCAATCCTACCTGTCCCAACATTTTCCAACTGGCTTGGCCCATATGAACTACATATACACATTGCAACTTAGCCCTTTGAATGCACAAATGGTTGTTATGGTTACTAATACAGAGCCACTTTTCAGTTGTGTTGGAGAAAATTGTGAACATAAGTAGCTGTGTATTACTTCAAAGACATTTAAACATGTTTATTGCTTAGAGATGCTTTTTGTTTACATCAAAGTTGAGCAGAAATTACACAGCCCTCCAGTATTTCCTTTTAATTGCACATACACACCATTCCCCATGATCAACACTCCACACCAAAAGGTTCACTTTTATTTTAGTGTTAAATAATATTCCCCAGTACGAATGAACTTCAGTTTATTCAGTTTTCCAGTTAATGATGGAAGAATATTCTTGGTTTCCAAGGATTGGCAATTATGAATATAGCTTTTTTTTTTTACTAGAACTCATGTATGAGTTAACTTTCTGTTACTGTAATAAAATACCTTGACTCAAAGATGGTTGGGCATTCAGGGTTTATTTCAGATTACAATTACAGAAAGTATACAGTCCATTGTGTCAAGGAAGGCATGGCAGCAGCATCCGCAGTGGTCAGGGAAGCAGAATCCTCACATTTCATCTATATACAGAGAGCAGAGATGAAAAACAAAAAGTGAGGCCAGACTCTAAAACCTTGAATCCCACCCCTAGTGAGGTACTTCTTCTCACGAAGCTCTGCCTTTCACAAGTTTTATAACCTTCCCAACAATCTGGAGAAAAAGTGTCCAAATGATGGACCTGTGGATAGCAGTTCCTGTTTAAACCAAAACATTTCTACCAAAGTAACGAGACATTTTGCATTTCCACAGGGAAAGAAAATTCTTTTTGTACTAGTAGTCATTATCCCTTGATATTGTTATATTGTTTCAATTTCCAGCTCCCTAGTGAAATCATATATTTAATATTTTTGATATATTTATTTACTCTCTGTCTATGGCTTTGTTTGTATGTGTGTGCACGTGTGTGTGTGTGTGTGTGTGTGTGTGTGTGTGTGTGTGTGTGTCTGTGTGTCTGTGTCTGTGTTTGATGCTGGGATTTTAAACCAGATCATTGTATAGACTAGGAGCACACTCTAATATATCCTCTCTGTCATTTTTAATGATATGTTTGTTCGCATTTTGTCCATTATAGCTGTTTGCTTTGCTATTATAGAATTTTAAGATATCTTTGTATATTTTGGATAATACTCTTTGTCAGGCATGGTTTCCCAAATGTTTTCTCTCATTGCCTGACTTCTGTTATTGTACTCCCAACAATATTTATTACAGAGTATGGTGAAAATATTCTCAGCAGTTGTATTTTTCAGTCTTGTAATACATTATTCAAATTATCTGTATTTTTTTCAAGGCACAATGCTATCTTTTATTCTAACAAATCAGATATTTTTGTATTTGGATCCTTCTTTTTTTAAATTTTTTTTGTAAAGATTTATTTATTTATTATGTATACAGTGTTCTGCCTGCACGCATCCCTGCAGGCCAGAAGAGGGCACCAGATCTCATTACAGATGGTTGTGAGCCACCATGTGGTTGCTGGGAATTGAACTCAGAACCTTTGGAAGAGCAGCCAGTGCTCTTAACCTCTGAGCCATCTCTCCAGCCCCCTGGATCCTTCTAAGAGACAAGCATAGCATTATTATTGATCTTTCACTATTATTATAGCCTTCCTTTCTTTTCTTTTGTTTTCTTCATTTTTTCTTTTTTAATATTATTTTTATTTGGGGGGTTATAATATTTTCTTTCTTTTTATTAAGAAATTTTTTTCATTCATTTTACACAACCATCAAAGATCCCCCTCTTCCCTCTTCACACGCCCCCTAGACTCCCCCTCCTGACCCACCCCCCACTCTCCCCCACAAGAAGGCAAGGCCTCCCATGGGGAGGCATATCCAGTAGAGGCAATTGCAAGCCCTTTTCCCTGTCTCAAGGCTGCACGAGGTGTCCCATCATAGGCAGAGGGCTCCAAAATGCTAACTTTCTTTTAGAATCAAATATCCGATCAATAAATTTATTTTGCTTCTCATAATATTAATGATTTTATTAATTATAGCAGTTTGAAGGGGAATTTCCAAATACTATATGGAATTGCCAAGTTATATAAATATTTGGTAAGAGCAGGCAACACTTTGGGGCCATGAACTAGAATATACACTAGAGAAGTCTTAGTCAAAGTCTCCAGTATTTTACATAATCTATCAAGCAATAGAGGTGTTTTGGAAAGAAAATAATAGTTGGACAGTTTCAGCGCTATCCAATATAAATAATGGTTGAAATGCCTTCTAGTGAAAGGAACTTGGTAGAAAAAGTCTTCCAGTATTTTGAATCCTCAGAATATTTTGCCCAGTGCTTTGCCACGTGGACTTCACATTAGTCACATACACGTTTTTTGGGAGGGAATAACAAATATTGTTCTCGGAGTTTCACCTCAGTGTCTAATTGGTGGAGGCTGAGCTATACTCTGACTGTCTTAAAGCAGAGTGGTGATAATTCCGGTCTTCATCCCAGTGAAAACCAGTGATCTGAATGAGGATACTTGGGACAGACATAGCGAGGTGATGACTAACACTGTCTTGCTCATTTTGTGCCTTAGTACAGCAAATGTCTCTGCCACACTTTCTCTCTACCCTTCACTGCTGCTGTTTTAAATCTAGTTGACTTCCTTCTCTACGTTCTCACATAATTCGGACCAAACAGATAAAATATGGAAAAATGTAAATACATTTTGATAAAATAAGATTTATAGGTTAAAAACTTAAGCACTGGACTTTTGGTTTGTGAACAATTTCATCAATTTATTTATAATGTACTAATATCTTGTTAAATATGTGTTTTCAACAACAGGATCTTCAAATACAAATTTTGGCAATACTGTGGAGTCTGGTATTTATTCTCATGAGTTCAAAAAAATAGAAGAAACCAGTTCTTTTGAACAAAATGTAGCAGAAAAAAATATAGACCCAGGAAACCACCAAAATTCTGGTGATTCCTGTACGTCATTTTGGAGCAAGGGTTCCTTGACAACTGTAGATTTAGATACATCATTCATTGAGGAGAATTCATCTCAAGACACTAGCACATCCTTGGAATACAGCAATCTGAAAGAGAGGCCAAACTTGGAAGATTCAAAAACTACAAAGTCACCACCGGTAAATAACTACAACATTTATTATATTGTCAGTTTATAAAAATGTTCTTGAGAAAATGATGTTTTAATGTAGTACAGACTAAAATGTTATTTTCTACTGAAGTTAAAATGTGCTGTTTTATTCCATTATAACTAAAGCATGACTCATATGGAAATAGAGACTAGGGACTTATATAGGACTAAATCTTATAAGATGAATGTCATTTTAACAAGCATTTTTCTGTGACAAATTGTGCTAAAGAACCACCACATACATATATCAAGAATAATGGTATTTTTCAAATAAAATTCACTTATGAAGAATAGAATGTAATGCATTCTATAATATATATGTATAAGTACATATATATATGCTATATATGTATAAACACAAACATAGAAGCATCAATCCATTTCCACATAAGGACTCACTTCAAATGAACTTGCCTTCTTACCGCACTAGTGGAGAAAGTAGTTGCTATGGTGTGGATTTCAACAAAGAGAAAAAGCAAGAATTCATCTTCCCAATTTCCACAGGTCACTGTGAAGATGGTTTGGCACATCTATTCATATAGGGGAGGAATCCTGCACTTAGGGAATGCTAGTTCAATGGGGAGAATCTGACCTGATCTATCCTTCAGGAAGCTCAGAGGAAAATGGCTCAGGGTGCTGATGTGGATGGTGGCAATCTGCATTTGTAAATTAAAAAAAAAAAAAAAAACAATTTTCAGAGCAAAATGTCTGCTGCCTTCTGACAGCATCCACAAGACCACAAAAGGTTCACAGATGGCTGAAATCTTAGACTCCTCTGATTTCTTTCTCTCTTTGCCTCTGTTTCCCAGACTCCTTTTTCTTCTCAGAAAGGATTTCATATATAAAGTTGAAAAACTAATTATTAGAAAATGTATACAGAAGGTATTTTCAAAAATTGTGAAGTTCAGTTTTTGTTGTCTTGCAATACTTAATGAGATCTGCAGTGTATTCCAGTTGCTGTTGACAACCAGATAAAGTATAATTTTGAAGGTTCAGGTGTATTAAACACATTTTCAGTCTAAATACTTTTAAACTCAAAGAGATGTTTATTAGGGTACAAAGCCTCTGTGAGTAAAAGAACATACATAATCTATGAATGAAAATAAGAAATCAAAAATCAATGAATCATGGACATGACTGAAAAGTAAAGAAAATTCAATAGTAAGCCAAATTCAATATATTTAAAAAGGAACAGTGATGATCAGAAAGAGATGTTACAACAACACTAGAAACTATTATTAAAGTAAAAAGATTAATAAGATTCAATTCTGGGTAGAGGCTGGAAGAAAAAGTACAAAAATATATGTAGAAAATTGAGGGTGAGAGATGATATAATTTTAAACTGCAATTACACTGATGTATTATTCAAATAATTCAAAACTTTTAAAAGTGGCATAGATTTTCTATAAATATGGCTTATGAAAATTTAGTGTGAATGAATTTAATAATCTAAAGAGACACATGTCATTTGCCATGGTTTACTTGTTTCTTCCCAAGTTCCTATGTTGGAAACTTAATCCCCAGTGCAAGAAGTATTAAAGTCAAGAGGTAGAATGTACAACAAGCACTGATCACATCGTGTGTGCTTTTCCTTAGGAATATCTGGTGGCTGTTGTTATGGAAGTAGTTTTGCTATTTGACAGGGCTTCTTACATTAGTAAATTTGGCCTTCTCTTATTCTTTCCTTCCACATTCCTCCATGGGATGGTAGATCAAGAAGGCTATTAACAGACATGGACCCTAGATCTTAGACTTTCCAATGTTCAAAATCAAAATAAATTCACTTTCTTTACAAATTGCCTTACATGTGATATTCTATTATGGAAACAAAATAATGAATGAAGACACAATGAAAGCATTTGAACTAATTGTAAATGCATTTGTTTTTTTCTGTAAAAAGTTTTCCTTCATGATAAAAACATGCAAGATTGCAGGTCAATGTCAATAAATCATCAAGTAATTTATATTCTAATCTAATCACTCAATTTCTTGTGCAAACAAAAAGGGATAAAATTCCTTAATTACTTCCTAAGACCAGTGTACCTTTGATGGAGAAATTTGAAAAACCCTGTTTTTCAGAGTATAAACTCAGAAATCAGAAAATAATGGTGAACTGATTCCATTAACTTATTTATGAAAAGCCAATCAAATGGCTTTGAAGAATACAGATACTCAATAGATATAATAAGAGAAATCTAAAATATTTTCATTGAATGATTAATAAAGTGCATTTTCCATTACCCTAATAAAAAGCATTTTGAAAAAAATATATAGTTTGTGGTAACTCTCATAATGAAAATAATATAGTAGTTAAGATGAAATGTAACTATATTTGTTAGCATAAACATAACTCAAAATACAACATGAAGTTTTTTTCCTGGTCTACAATGTTTTTAACTAAATTACTGATATTAACTTGTGTGACCAAGTTAGATAGTACATATATCCAATTTTAAACCATTCAAAAATTTTAAATAAAACCTTTAAATGTTACTAATTATATTTTTGGATTCCTCTTATTACTACTCTTAAGAATGTGTGCTTTTCTTAAAGTGGTAACACTTATCATCACTAAGCAAAATTGCTTTATGCCTAGGTGCTCAGCATATTTTATAAAATTTTGCTCAACAGATGTACAGAGGATCTCAGAGTTTTTTAGTGTTAGTCATCTGGTTATTTCAAAGAATCTGCTACCCCAACTATTTTGATTTGGTCACAGTATAGACTAATCATCTCTTACCTATTTTTAAGTAGACAGAAACTATCCACAATCTTCTAGGGCATAGTATAAGCCAATGTCATGAACAATAAAGTACTCATTTGTGGAGCCCTATATTTTTGATCTCATATTTCCAAGGCGAAAGAAATAACCTTTATCCCTAGGAGTTTGTCAGTAAGGTAAACAACATGTAATGAACTTCAGTGTAATCACTATGGAATAGAACAGTGTCATTTGCTTCACAGAAAGTGTCTTCTGCTAGTCATAGCCTCAACCTGAGAGGCCAGGACATTGGGTGAGCACCTTCATTCACAGGATCTGACTAGGCTAGTCTCTGGGGTGAGTTGGATTATTAGTACAAAGGACTTGAGTAACAGAAAGTTACCTCCAGGAGTCTGTTCAATAATGAGAGTGTTTGAGAGTGGACATCAGAAGAGTTGGTGCTTCACAGTTGAACAATGAATTCTTGCTTTCAGACATTGAGAAGGCTGAATTCACTCTCTCTTCATCCCTAATGCAAATACCCAAACTGATTTTAAGTTCTCCTTTGGCAAAGTGGAAACAATTCCCTTACCAGCAATCATTTAGAAGTCTACTCTGTTCAAGAATACAATTAAAGTTCAAGAAGCAGCATCAAGTTTGGCTGTGATTTTTCCTGATAGCCAAATTGAATGTAAGGTTATTCATTTCTGAATTCAGTCTTCATAAAGAAGAATTTCTTATTGAATTATTCACTAGGTTTGGGGGGCTGTATTGGGATGAAAATGGACTAGTTGGAGGTCCTTGGTTGTTCTGCTTCTGAAACTATCAGAAGTAAACTCTGTGAATTTGAGAAAAAAATCATAAAACAAAATATCACCATTATAAATTTCTGAACTCTAAACTCAGAATTTAAAAACAGTTTTTAGATTGATGGTAGCATAATTCATGTATGAACATCATTAGTGATGACCAATATCTGGGAGAGTCACAAACAATGTCCTAGAGAGTAGACTAGGATTTTTCAATGACATACATTACTGGTTGCCAGACTTATTTTAGGAGATTGAAATGTGATCTGTAAATTATTTTTGGAGCTATAAGAATCACTGTGTGGTAGTTATTCTTTTGGAACAAAGTATTTTTAAGTATTAATTAACATTGAACCAGGAATTGTTAAATACTGTTAATCACTCTCATGCATCTTAGATCTGTCTAGAAGTCTTACTTATGAATTGCTTGTTTCCTCTTGGGATTCATATTTTTTTAAAGAAATGGTCTGGCTATGTGTGCTAGCTGGTCTTATGTCAATTTGACACAAGCTAGAGTTATCTGAAAGGAGAGAACCTCAATTGAGAAAATATCTCCATAAGACCTCGCTGTAGGGTGTTTCTTAATTAGTGATTGATGTTGGAGGGCCTAACCATTGTGAGTGGGGCTATGCCTAGGCTGGAGGTCCTATAAGAGGGCAGGCTGAGCAAGCTATGGGGAGCAAGCAAGTAAGCAGTACCTTTCATGGCTTCTGCATCAGATCCTTCTCCAGGTTCCTGCCCTGCTTTAGTTCCTGCCCTGACTTCTTTGATGGTGAACCTTGACTTAGAAGTGTAAGCTGAATAAACCCTTTCCTCTCCAAGTTGTTTTTGGTCATGGTATTTTGCTGCAGCAATAGAAAATCTAACTAAGATACTATATAACCCAGACTGTTCTTGAACTCATAGAAATCTTCTTGGTCCATTCTTCTCTAGGTTCTGGGAATACAAGTATAAGCCAGCATGTCTAGCTCATGTTTTGTTTTTGTATTATATTCACAGACATGAACTGTTTTAAAACAAGGTGATAAACAATGAGTTACCAGGTGGTAGAGTAAGTCTAGGCATGGAATCCAAAGGACGCAAAGTCTAGATTTGCTAGGTTATAGCTACATCATCATCACAAGTTACTTCTCTTCCTCTTGCCTCAGTTTTGCATGTTTTAGGATGTGTATATTAGTAACTTGGATTTCTTCTATGTTCAACATCACGTCAGATTTATTATCATTGGAATTTTACTTCATTTTCAAAACTATTTTTGTAAACAGAGACACTAGTTCAGAGGACTATGTAAGAGTTTCCTCATTCCAGCACAGTTTATATGAAAGTGTACTAAGGCAGTGGTTCTCAACCTGTATGTTGAGACCCCTGGGGTGTCAAATGATCTTTTCACAGGATAGCATATCAGATTCTTATTTTTTTTTGTTTGTTTTTCGAGACAGGGTTTCTCTGTGTAGCTTTTTGTCTTTCCTGAAACTCACTTGGTAGCCCAGGCTGGCCTTGAACTCACAGAGATCCGCCTGGCTCTGCCTCCCAAGTGCTGGGATTAAAGGCGTGCGCCACCACCGCCCGGCCAGATACTTATTTTATGATTCATAGCAGTAGCAAATTTACAGTTATGAAGTACCAACAAAGATTCATTTTATGGTTGGGAGTCACCAGAGCAAGAGGAACTGTATTAAAGGGTCACAACATTAGGGAGGCCGAAAACCATTGTACTAAGGGAAGAAAATAAAAGAATGAGGACAGAGAAAAATTGTTTTGTTTTGTAAACTTTCAACCTTCTTGGATTAATGACAACTTTCAGCTTATAATTATCGCTTTACATTTCATGGATCCAATTCAATCTAAACACTGTATTATTTTGTTTCTCTGTTACAGTGTAAAAGTTATCACAACAGAGCTGGTGTCAAGGTCATATAAGTTGCTCAGTGAATGAATGCATGACTTTGTTTTAATGAGCTAGAAAGTAAATAGTCTGTTAAATGTTGTTCTCTAGCTGTTGCAAGAAATAGCCCTCAGAAAAAAACCTATAAATGAGCGATATCAAGGGCTTGAGAAGTTCTTCGCTCCTGGTACAAATGAAAGATTCGACTCCCACCCTTCACCAAACATAGGATGCAGCCACTCATGTTCCAGCATAACATTCACAGGTAAATTACCATCAGGAATCAGATGACTTTTGGGCCACCCTAGTCAAATCCTAACTCAATTGTAAAAACTGCCGCCATTTTTAAAATACTGGGAAATTCTGTTCAGTGACTAAAACTTTCCCTTTGGCTATCTGAAAGTATTAAAGTTGTGTGAGCTGCCATATTTGAGAACATCGGGAAGTAAAGAAAAGACAATAATAATATTGAAGGAAGATCATGTTAAGAATTTTAAAGCATTGTTAATTTTAATGCACAAAGTAGTAAGTCTCTGAATCACTTCATCAGTTAAGCATTGTATGATGGTACTTTAAATTTTGTCTTGAAAACAAATCATAAAAATATCAAGATCTCCTGAATTTCTAAGACTTATCTGTAATTTCAGTTTCTTTCTAAAATTTTTGTATTGTCTTTTTTTGTTCTAAAACACAAATAACTTAAATTTACTTTTTGACTGTTTAGTGTACAACTCAGTGGTACTATTTACTTTAATAATAATATATAACATTTTGTGCCATTTATCTCTAGAATACATGTTATATTGTTAGATCAAAACTCTATTTTCATTAAACATAATTCATTATCCTCTCATTAACCCCTAGCTAATACCATTCTTCTTTCTCCTTGTATTATTTTTCTTATTCTGATGAACTCATTCATATAAATGGACCAGCATATCTCAGTTAGCACAGGGTCTCAAGTTTTATCATGTGCAAGAATGTATGTTTTTTAAAATAAAGTATAAAAAATAAGACTAGAATATGTGAGTCACTATATGTTTATCTTTTCTTTTATGCATGTGCCAAACTTTTAAAACTCTAGAGGATGTAGTTGGAAAATCACTGTTAAAATACTGTGTTTATAAAGGAAACCAGTCCTTTCTTGTTAGGGCTGTTAATATGCCTTTGTATGGACATTTTATGTGGGCTACCACTGAATAGCCCACCCAAACATGAGTGACTACCCACAAAAGCTGAATCCCAGGAACTCTACTCTGATTTAGGCAGATCAACATTCTGGAAATACCTTCTTGGCTTCTTGACCTGTCATTGTTCTCTGGAAGTAGTTTACTGTTGTGGAATATTAATTTAAGATATGTTACATTGGTTTATGCTGTGGAATATTAATTTAATGATGCAAAGATGTGCTACATTCTTTTATGTTGCGTTTGTTTAACTTTGTGAAGCTGTGTTACTTTGCCTGTCTAAAACACCTGATAGGTCTAATAAAATGCTGAACAGTCAATAGGTAAGCAGGAGAAAGGATAAGCAGGGCTGGCAGGCAAGATAATAAATAGGAGGAGAAATCTGGGAAGAGAAGATCTGGGAGAAAAGGGGAAGGGGAGGACAATATCAGGGGCCAGCCACCCAGCTACACAGCTACACAGCAAGTTATGGAGTAAGAAGAAAGGTATATAGAATAGAGAAAGATAAAAGCCCAGGGGCAAAAGGTAGAAGGGATAATTTAAGAAAAGCTGGCTAGAAATAAGCCAAGCTAAGGCCAGGCATTCATAAGAAAGAATAAGCCTCAGTGTATTTATTTGGGAGCTGGGTGGCAGCCCCCCCCCTCAAAGAATAAAGAGTATAAACAATTAACTATAGTCTACTGCTTCTATAACCTTGAGGAGGAGCCCTTAGGAATCTTGTAAATTTCAGCTTTCCCAGACATGGTAAGTTTTTTGTTTTGTTTTGTTTGTTTGTTAACTTCCTAATTGTTGTGCACTTCCCCAATCCTTCATGGAAGGAATATTTTAATTAAGAAGAAATTACTGGGCCAGGCAGTGGTGGCACATGTCTTTAATCCCAGCACTGGGGGTGGAGGGGCGGGGCAGAGCCAGGCAGATCTCTGTGAGTTCAAGGCCAGCCTGGTCTACAGAGCAAGGTCCAGGACAGGCACCAAAAATACACAGAGAAACCCTGTCTCAAAAAACCAAAAAACAAAAAAACAAAAAGAAATTACTGTAAACCACTAGGTATCATTGAATGAGTTAACTAGTGTTTCCCAAGTTTTAGGAAAAGGTTTGAGAGATATTGGTATTGTTTATATATTTTTAACTTTCTCTTTTCATTTATCTATTTTTTTATTTGTTTGTTTGTTTATTTATTTGTTTACTTATTTGTGTGTGTATTTATGTGTGTACACAGATGCATGTATTATAGCCGTGCACAGGTATCTGTGTGCATGTGAAAATCTAGGTCAATAATAAGTGTTTTCTTTATTATCCATGTTTTTATTTTAGACCAAGTATCTCATTGATTTTGGAGCTTGCTGATTCACTAGACTAGATGGCTTCTGACCTCAGGGACCCTGTCTCTACCTCTGAGTGATGGTTTAAGGGGCCTGTGATACACCTGGGATTTTACACAAGTGCTAGATACACACTCAGGTCCTCATCCTTTAATGACAAATACTTTGCTGACTATCCAATCTACATAGGCTAATAATTTTCATTAAATTATGTACAAAACTCATCAGGGCCAGGACTTTTCATTTTGGGAGAATTTTTTTTTCCTGGCTCAATATTTTTACATTATATTAGATTTTCTATTTCTTAAGTTTTGTTTTGTTGATAATACTGTCTGGACATCATCTATGTTATTTACTCTTCAAATGTTTAAATATATTTATTTGGGGGTTGGCATGTCATTCCAAAGCACATGCAAAGCCCTAGGATCTACCCCAGCACAACACACACACACACACACACACACACACACACACACAATGTCTTTGTTCATAAATTATTATAACTTAATGCATATTGTCACATAGTTTAAAAGTAATTTTTTATTTCTGTAAACATCTATGTATACTTTTGACATTTATAGCACTTTTTCTTTATGACATTGGAGCTTAATGGGCTTTATTTTATAATTGAGACTGAATTTCATAATATTTGCTATAAATATTTCTTAATTCATATTAATATTATTTGGGAACATAGTAGAAATAAAAATATGAACAATGGAATTACATGATTTTTACATATATTAAGATAAAAATTAAATTTAATCTTTAACAATATCATATATGTATTCTAATTACTCTATCATACTCTATCATACTCTATTTTATCATTTTTCTACCCTATTGATCTTCCTTGTCTTATAATGAGGAAACATCATGGCTAAAAGCTGTAGTTGGGGTTATCTCCTGGTCCTGCCTGCCCACGGTCAGGATAAATATCTCTCATCCGCCAGTTCCCGTAGCTGCTTGGACCCAAGCAAACACACAGAGACTTACATTACTTATAAACTATATGGCCGTGGCATGATTCTTGTTATCTAGTTCTTATATCTTAAATTAACCCATTTCTATAAATGGGTTCTATAAAGCCACCTTGCCTCATGGCTCGTGGCTTACCGGTATCTTACATCATGTTTATCATGGCGGTGACTGGCAGCATCTCTCTCTCTGCCTCAGCCTTCAACTTTGCAGAATTCTCCTCTCTCCTTGTCCCACCTGTACTTCCTGCCTGGCTTCTGGTCAATCAGCACTTTATTTATCAATCAATCATCCACAGCAAAAAGCAACTTAGGAAGGAAAATATTTATTTCATTTCCCACTTCCATATCATACTTCATCACTGAGGGAAATCAAAACAGTAACTTGAGGCAGGAACTAAAGCAGAAGCCATGAAGGAATGTTGCTTATTGGCTTGTTCCTCTTGGCTCGCTTGGCCTGCTTTCTTACATAATTCAAGACCAGCAGCAGAGGTTTGGCACCACCCAACAGTGAGTTGAGCCTGTCCACATCAATCATTCAAAAAAAAAAAAATGACCGATCTTATGGAGGTATTTTCTCAATTAAGAATACTTTTTCCTAAATGACTGTAGATTGTGTCAAGTTGACATAAAACTAACAAGGACACCGTTCTTCTCTACAAGTTTCATTTTCAAGTTCATCTATTTTCGTTTTATTTTATGATCCACCGATTTTAACAGAACTATCTCTGTGACTGTTGGTTGAGCCTATCCATTGACGCTTTGTGGGATCACACAACTGAAAGATGACTCACACTATACCCACATCTATCAATAGATTCCCAGGAAGGGATAGGAGTGCCTGAGCACCTCCTTCATCTATGCTTCCTGTGGACCTGTGAGGTCTGGTGGAGTCCTAGTGCAGGCAACTTGGTGTGGGCAGCTAGGCAACTGCAACCTGGTGCCGCTCCTGTCAGTTCATGATTGCAATGGCTGCATCATAGGAAGAAGCACATTTTACAGTCCCCTCTCCGTCTTCTGGCTTTAACGTTCTATCCATGTCCTCTTCCACTATGTTCCCTGAACATTGAAGGTTGTGGAACTTACCTTATTTTATACTTTATATTATCATTTTTCTGTTTCAGAAGACAAAGTGTGGATCCCAGACAGCAGCTTAAGTGGGCATGCTGGTAGTGCAGTTGCCTTGTATGATCAGCAGAGCGCTGAAAATCCACTTCCAAATATGCAAGAGCAGAAGACAGGTACAGGCAACAGTATTGTGTTGCTGGCTTCCTTTGTTTAGTTGTTTGATTCTTACAAAATTATTAGTCATCTGAAATTTTTTGTAGATATACGCTGCTCCAAAATCTAAAGGCAGAAAATCAAGCCATCAAATGAGCTCATTATTTCTCTCAAAGATAAATTATATTGTGAACTATTTTCCATAGCGACATATTAGTGAATTATATTAAAAATATAGCTCAGAATATATGTTTTGAGCAGTCCTCAAAGAATATACATACAAGTTCTTTACATTATTGCTGTTTTATGCTATATTTCATATGCTTTACTTGATTCATTCTTTTTTTTTTTTTTTTTGGTTTTTCGAGACAGGGTTTCTCTGTGTAGCTTTGCGCCTTTCCTGGAACTCGCTTTGGAGACCAGGCTGGCCTCGAACTCACAGAGATCCGCCTGGCTCTGCCTCCCGAGTGCTGGGATTAAAGGCGTGCGCCACCACCGCCCGGCTTGATTCATTCTTTTAACTGAAAATGCATTCTTCTCTCATACAGTGCATTCTGACCACAGTCTCTCTTCCCTGTACTCCTACAAGATCCCACCTACCCCAGCTCACCCTTCACTTCCCTCTGTTTCCCTTCAGAAAAGGACAGGCCTCCAATCAAACGACAAAGCAAAATACAAATAAGATAAGGCAAAAATCCTCATACCAAAGCTGGCTGGACAAAGCAGGAAGAAAGGAGTCCTAAGAGCAGGCAAAGGAGTCAAAGACTCATCTGCTCCCACAGTTAGGAGTCCCACAAAACATCAAGCTAATGACCATAACATATAAGCAGAGGACTTGGTGCAGACCTTTGCAGGCCACGTGCTTGCCACTTAAGTCTTTGTGAGCTCTTATGTGCCCTGCTTGTTTGATTCAGTGGGGCACGTTCTCCTAGTATCCTCCATCCCCTCCCACTCCTACAGTCTTTCTGCCTCCTCTTCCACAGGATTCTCTAATCTATGAGGGGAGGGACCTCGTGGAGACCTACAGACCTTATTATGATTATCTGTACCCATTTGTGAAATCATTGAACTATATTGAGGTTGCATCTTATAACCAGAATCAATGTCATTTAGACTTAAATGTAATGTTCTATATTTTTACACTGGGCTCTTTTATTTTTAAAGGTTATGATTGCACTTATTTATTTAGTGTGTTATGGGTACACAGTTATACATATGTTGGCTGTCTATTATAGCTGTTTTCCACTGCGTTTACTACCAGTATGTATAGCATATTACTCTTATTCCATCATACATAGAATATGATGCTTCATCATATATCTGCATTTTTCTGCGTTTCTTATGATGTTGCACTAAATAGCTAAAAGAAAAAATTAAGTCAGTTCAACACAGTTGTGCATAGTATGTTAACACGATGTGAGGGTCTGGGGATGAAAGGATGCATGAGCATTTTCCCTGGTCTCAGGAAGACTGCACTTTAGGAGAAATGCTTGACAAGCAGGGCAATTTGCTCTGCTTTAAAAAACTCTCTTCAAGCCAAAAGTTTAACTACATATGATTTGCTCATATACATAGGATTTTTATATTGTTTTTTGGCCTAAACTCTTCAGCTAGCTTAGATCTTTTCTATATGAATTTATGTTGATTTGATGTCAGATATAAAACTTTTAGTATCAAGCTATCAATTTGTGATACAATTTTTGGAGCTCTATAATTAGATACCTATTGTCACATCAAATTCAAAAGCATCCTCAAGTACTCTCTTTCCTGCCTCCTGGGCAAGGAGAAGAAACTGTGTTTTAAGTCACTGTGAATTGTTGAAAATAAATTTAAGCACATGCTGTGAGAAATCTGTTACAAAGACAAATCTTCCTAAGCAAATAGCCAAATGCTTTTAAGTATCTATGTGGGGCAGATCCATCAGTGAGCAGTTTACTATAAAAAGCCTTTGATGGAGCACCTGTCCCAGGCCAGCCATTGCCAACTGGAGCTAAAAATGCAATGTGACCCAGGAGCTTAGAGTCCATCCAGAGGTTCTCAGATGTTAGTGTCAACATCAAATAGAAAACATGTTATAATGCAAATTTGATGATCGCATTATTAAAGGTACTGAATGATACAGAATCAAATAAGACACCTGATGATCTGCATTTGTCAATCATTCTCTGTTGTGTTATTGTAGATTCTTCAAAAGTCTTATTTTGAGAAAACTGCTAGATATAAGAGCACACAAATTAAATTATAGTATATCAGCTATAATAGACGTGTGTGTGTGTGTGTGTGTGTGTGTGTGTGTGTGTGTGTGTGTGTGCAGGTACATGCTATTTTTTGGAAGTAGTAATGATAAAATAGATATGTCAGTAGCCGGGCGGTGGTGGCGCACGCCTTTAATCCCAGCACTCGGGAGGCAGAGCCAGGCGGATCTCTGTGAGTTCGAGGCCAGCCTGGACTACCAAGTGAGTTCCAGGAAAGGCGCAAAGCTACACAGAGAAACCCTGTCTCGAAAAACCAAAAAAAAAAAAAAATAGATATGTCAGATATTAGAGATTATATGACATTTTAGTTGAGTCTTTAAATGGTAATAACAATGACCAGATAGGAAATTGGGAAATTGGTTCTGGACAGAGGTAGTGGCCTGAAATAAAATTAAATGCTCTTGGCAGTGAAGCAAGCTACAGAGATTTTATACTCTGAAGTAATGCCAATGTATGTAGGAATGTTAATTCCTGAATGGTCTTAAAAATCTGTGACTGTAAAATGTATAGAATACATGTATGTTTAGAGGCAAGTCTCTTCCTCATTCAACCTTCCTCAAATCTTCCTCTGTCTGTATGCAACACTGTAGGACATCATCAGCAGGACATCTAGAAGTCAAGTTTACTTGCACTAGCTACAACCTAGTCATTTGCAAATGCTGCTTCTCCTCCACAAATGCAGCCCAAATTTAACCACTTAAACTTCATTTCTCCTGTTGAGTGCTCAGTAGGTGTCTGTCTTGGTTAGAGTTTCTGTTGCTTCCACCAAACACCATGACCGAAAAGCAAGTTTGAGAGGAAAGGGATTATTTGGCTTACACTTCCTTATTGCTGTTTATCACTGAAGGAAGTCAGGACAAGAACACAAACAGGGCAGGATCCTGGAGGCAGGAGCTGATGCAGAGGCCATGGAGGAGTGCTGCTTACTGGTTTGCTTCCCCAGACTTGCTCTAACTGCTTTCCTATAGAACTCCAAACCATCAACCCAAAGATGGCACCACCCACAATGGACTGGGCCCTTCCACATTACTAATTGAGTAAATCACCCACAGCTGGATCTCACTGAGGAATTTCCTCAACTAAGGCTCCTTCCTCTTTGATGACTCTAGCTTATGTCAAGTTGACACACAAACCAGCCAGTACAGTGTCTAATTTTGGCTTGTGCTCCAATATTTTTTTTTACTCTTTGCAAAACTCTCCTGATATAAATAATATTCTAACAAGTTCTACTGTTTATAATCAGTGAGTAGATTATTTATATTTTCAGTCAGAAAATTATTCATATATTTTATAACTTATGGGGCTTATATTTTAACAATAGCAAAGATCTTGACATTTACTTGCTAAAAGCATACTATAGCTACTCGGGGAAGGTAACAGACTTGCAAAAACTCTTCCTTCTGATGAATAACTGTTACCTGGAGAGCTTCCCCATATGTCCTCACTGCATCTCCTCCCAACCTGTTCTCTCACTGACTCCTCTCTGTTCTGAGGCAGATCACACGATTATTTTTAGCCTAGGGATGTGCTTCTCACTTTCATATTGGTTGCTTTGCAAACTCCCACTCCATCCTTAGATCTTCTTGGGGTTGCTTTCAATCTCAGATGCTACCTCCTCAGTGAGGTCTTTGAGGCCACCCTACATAATGCTGGTCCCCAAGTCCTTCACCCACTTTCTCTCTTCTCCTAAAAGCCATTGTATAACACATCTTGTATTTCTCACGTATCCTACCTTGGGCAGAAAGCAAATAGTAGCCTGTTTACTCTTTGGTGCATCCTCGGTTATGGAAATTGGTTCTGGTACTTTGGTGAAAATTGACATCAGAGAAAATATCTGGTTTGTTTTAGAATGTCTTGATTTTGATAGAGGATTTGGCAGATTTAGGAGTTAATAAATGATTTTTATCATTGGATTGAATTATGTATTAATTCACGGGTTCTCAGAGTTGGATGGAATTTAAGACATTACACTGTCTAATTCTATATTTTGAAGGTGAGATGTGGATTATCATGTGTCAGATCACAAGCTGATTTCTGATTCAGTGAGTTTAGATAATATGTTTCTTAGCAACCTAGGTAAGCATTTCCCCACAAAACTATGCCATTCAATTAAAGCTCTTTGTATGTTCCTAGAAATCTTAGAAAACACATTCCTATTTTTAATTAGTAATTCTTAGAAGTATGCAGTGTAACAAGTATTACAATTTTGAAAACTTAGATCTTGATTAAAGTATCGGGTCCTTTGATAAAAATATTGTTACTAAGATGCTATCCAAGATGTCTGGAGAATGGTTCAGTTGATAAATTGCTTTCTATACTTGCAAGGAGACATGAGTTTAATCCTAGAGCTCATACGAAAGTCAGGGACAATGGAGCATGTCCGTAATCCAGGTACTAGAGAAGTAGAGACAAGGCGATCCCTGGAGTAGGCAGTCTAAGCTGAATCACTGTGAGAAATACTGTCTTAAAAATATGAATGATTGCAGAGGAATTCTATATTAACCCTTAGCACAGAAATAAAAATGCTACCCATAAACACATGCTATAATTGTTTTGTTAAATTCTATGCTATATATAGAACAGCAATAATAATTACATTAAACATTACTTGGTGATTGATTGTGTCCTAACCTCATTAATAGTTTTGTGTTCATTAATACCATTGTGTTTTGTCTTTTCAATATTTAGCCTAGTTTCAATAATAAGCATAGGTTATATATTTTTAAGTTATCACCAAAGAGAATTTGTTTTATCTAGAATCTGACTGGAATCAATCAATATTAATAATTTCTGATACTACATTGCCAATGATGGCACCAGCTGCTCCAACTCTCTCTCTCTCTCTCTCTCTCTCTCTCTCTCTCTCTGTGTGTGTGTGTGTGTGTGTGTGTGTGTGTGTGTGTGTTAGTTATTTTTAGTAAGGGACGATAGCTTCAATTGGCATTTTTATCAGTGGCATCTTTCACATTATGTTGCGTCTGAACCTTAGCAATGATATTAATATGCCCATGAATTAAACTCTAAAGTGAATGATATGTATACCTGGAGAAATACCAAATAAACAAAACTCCTGTGTTTTGGTGACTTCAAACTCTAGTAGAGCGTATTCCAGCAGGGCAGGTGGTCTATCCTCTTGCTCTGTGCTAAGCATATCTGATCTATCCCCTGAGTACATTTTCTTTCAATTGGGATCAATTAACTTCCAATTCAGTGGTAACCAGATGCTGCTGAAAGCACCAGCAAGTGCCGTCCTCTCCTGAGTCTTCTGAAGGTCATCCATGCTATTTGACAGTTTTCTCACTTCCCTCTTTGTTGTTGTTGCTGATGTCAGAAATCCAGTCTGTACTAGTAACTCCTTCCTTTTGTTATATTTCAATAAGCAATATACATTCTTTTACATTTTGCATTTGATGAGGCATCATGACACAGAAAAGAGAACATTATTTCCCAGGGATCCAGGACATTCGATTTCTGTAAAGAATTACCGCTGTAGCTGTCCGTCTGTCACAGCACGGCACAATGCTGGGATGGGGGTGGGGGCAGCTTGCTCCTTCTCGGCTGTGAATGTCATATTGAATCATTCCACGTTCTATAAAATAGAGACCACTTTTCAATTCTGGTCATCAAAATAATTCTTGAAGGCATTTAAACAAGAATCAATATATAGGCATATGCCTGTTGATTACCTTTCTTTAGAACTTTTTTTTTTTGCACTCAGTCACAAAAGGGTCAGAGACTTAATTTATTCATAATTTCATTTAGCAAAATCATTTTAAAATTGGTTTCTGCAATGTTCATTAACATCAGTACCCTCTGTGTGTTACCTTAGTGAGTTTTGATTAACTATTTAATGTTTCATCCAGAGGCTTATGAGTATATTCACTATGCTCAATATAGAGGAAAAGGGGGAAGAACAGGGAAGACAAACCGATTCTTGTATGCAGGGTGGCTTCCATTGTCACTCTTTTAACTTCTAAATTTCCCTGTGATTCTCTATAGTTACATGCCTCTGGGATCTGTTTAGCCAGTTAGGATTTCTATGCCAATGTCAGTTGCACAGCTCAAAACTTTTATGCGAAGCTCATTTGTTTTGAGAGGTTACAAACTTACATTTTAAATTATTTATGTTTGATTTGAAAAACACTTCTGTAAATTAAATGGTACACGAAAGCAACACACCTGTCCTGTGAACCTTTGAGTACTCCTTGAAAACTCCCATGGCTTTTGCTAAAGAACCTTTTGTGAAAATGGGAAAATTAGGAATTACTTATACTCTATGAATTTAAAGCATCCCCTGTCTTCCTGTGGCAAAATGTTGGATGTTAAGGAAACCAACTGAACTACTTCTAAAATGGATTAAGAAAAAACTCTGATTGACCGGGGGGGTGGGGGGTGGGGGGGGACAGTAGCAACCTGACTGGGTCTGTCCTTCTGGGAGCACTGCACTGATGGGCCAGTAGTGCCCTAGAATGGATTCAGATTTACAAAACTTACACATGAACTCTCATTTTCTTTTTAAATCAGTGTTTTTACATACTAGCCTGTCCTGGACCAGCAGGTTGTTCTTCAGTGACAGGATGCTAAGTGAGAGGAACAGGGATGTGATAATGAAGATGAGAAAAGGTGGAACCAAGAGGTCTTGATCAGTCTGATGACTTATGCTAAGCAAGTTTATGAAGAAGTACAGCACCTTATATACAGTTTCCCTGAAAAGCAAAATTGGGACAAAGTCTGCAAAATACTATCATACAATGGGAAGAGTTGTGTTCTCAGGATCCAAAACCGCAGTTCCTCTAAGGCCATGGCCCCAGGCCATTTCTGGCATTACCAAGCATGTACCTGGTTTTAGACAAGCAACTAAGTTCCTTCTCCATACATCAGGAACTCAGGGAAAGTCCTGGAGTGGCCTACCCCTTAACACTAGCCTATTTATCTTTATATTTAAAAATAAATTTATAAAATCCTGATATGTCAAGTTAGTTCTCTAGGAGAAACCATGTTTATCCTATATTTTCCCTTTACAAGGCACAGTGTGGCTTTTTCTAGAATTTAAGGAACATGTAAGGGCATCTGGCAGTTAGATGGACTAGAGCGGAGATGCCAGACTGCTGTGCGGCTGGCTTGTCGGATGGATATTTTAACTTAGTTGCTATTAAAATTAGGTTCTCTTTTCTTGAGCGCTGAAAAAGGACTCGGAGGAGTTCTTTATGTCACTGTGAATGTAATTTGGGATTAATTTGCAATTGCCTATAGCTCAAATAAGTAACAGTCAAAAGGCTACAGTATTATTGGATGCTTTGTGTCCAGGAGGGTAATTGGTATTGTTAGCACACTTTGGGGGGCAGGGCACAGTCGATGGTTCAGTCAGTAAAGTGCTTGCCTTCTAAGCACCAGGGCATGAGTTTGACCCTAGAATCCATGTAAAAATGTCAGGCATGCTGGTGTGTGTGTTTGTTTCCCCAGGACTGGGAGCTGGGGTGTTGGCTATAAGAACAACACTGGGGTTCACTGGCCAAACACTGGACCCTAATCGGTAAATCTAAGTCAATGAGAGAGTTTCTCTCAAATGAATTGGATGCTGTTCTTGATGATGAGGAGCCCAGTCTCCATCAACATGTATGAACCCATTAAACTGAACAAACAAATACACACTTGGGATTCTAAAGCAAGTTGGTGCCTTTCTTTTCTTCTTATAGGCCAGAAGTCACAGAGACCTTCCACAGCAAACTTCTCTGTCTCCAACTCTGCTCGAAAAGGCTCCAGCTGCTGGGTGTCCTCTTCTCCCCGACCAAGGAGTGTGGCCACTCAATCCCTATCCAGAGCTGCTTCTGAAATTTCAGAAATTGAATACATAGATGTCACTGACCAGAATGAGCCTTTCCTAGATAACACTGAAGATCAACAAGCCTTAGACAGATTGGAGAAAGAATTAAATGTACTGAGAAACCTTGCAGGTGAATAATAGATTTGACTTATAAAATAGTAACTCTGTTCTCTGCTTTCGTCTTTACATGTTGCTGTACAACAAGCAAATGCAAAAGGCATTTGCTTCCCATGTGTCTATTTCCTTTGATATCCCCAATATCACGTAAAAATACCTATAAAATATGTGGTTTCTGATCCCACAGAAAAGCTGGTCATCCTCAACCCATTAATACACAAAAAATATTTGACATAGGAACTTTCAAATTTAAGGCAAGCATTATATCTCCATGTATATAGCCACTTGAATAAGATTGACAACTAGAATTTGACCCCAGGGACACACATGGTAGAATTCCCCAAGGTTCTCTCTGACTTCCTTGTATATGCAGTAGTATGTGTGTATGTGTACTAACACACTCAAATAAAATGTAATGAAAAACTAGTTTAAGAAACCAAATCTTTTTTTATCTTTCCTTCAAGTACAACGAAGGGTTAATATCTTCATTTTTGTGAAACCCTCTGTCTAGCATTGTTGTGGGAAAATTGAGCTGTTAGGATTCTTAAAGCAGTCCTTCCCAACCTTAAGTATGTGCACACCCCCCACCCCGGGGTCTTCTTCAGATACACACTGAACATCTAGCACGTGCCCAGGCAGTACCTAGATGAGTAGGTAAGAACAGTTTGGGAAGGGATTCTACTTGCTCATTCTATTTCCAACCTCAGTAATGGCAGAGAGTGTGACAAATGGCCACCCTATCCTTTAACATTGCAAGTGTGTAGCAGTAACAAAACATCAGGGAGGCAATCCTCTTACAGCTTTCACAGTTGGAAACCAACTGTAGGTACAAAGGCCAGAAAATTATCTGGATTTTTTTTTGTGTGCGTGTATTCCACACTTGTCCCAACCCTGCCATCCTGCCCCTTGCTGTTAGCAACCTTCTTTCTCCCTTACTAAGTTTATAAAACTTTGTTACTTTTCTAAGAATCATCTCACTCAATTTTGAAAAATTCAGGCAGTAAGAATAAAATGTAGGCCAAAAAAGAAAAAAAGAAAAGAAAAAAAAAAGCCCATACAATCACAAAATCTTACTATTCTTAAAACAACCACCATTAACTACAGTGAGTATCATTTCAAATATGTTTGTATCATAAGTACACAAGTAAGATTACGTATTTATAGGGATGTTGCATCACTCTGACTCAGGAGTATATTTGTATTCACCCTAGAGAGAGAAACAAGTGACAGCCTTTAGGAATGATACTATCCACTTCCTGCTTGCTGAAACAAGGAGGTTCAGCAATGAGGTTCATTGGGGCTTCAGGAGTACAGGTGACTTCAGTAGTTGCAATATGGCAAAGCCCAGCCTGGCATGAGTGAATATTTACCCAGTTCTGTCACTGTAATTCACTGCCCAGCTTGCAGGAAGCTGCACTGAGGGGTCTTCTGCTCTCAGCCAGACCTCACAACCAAAATTCTTTACTGCTTCTATAAAGTTTGGAGAGACCTCATGAGTCTTGTGAGATACTGATCTTCTTGAGTCTTGTAACTTTCTCCTTAGTTTTGAGATTCCCTTCTCCTTCCAAAAGGGAATGTTTGAAACCTGAGGAAAACACCTCCACAGAGAAGCATAGACAGGTTAAAAAGAAGGAGGTAATACTGTAACTTCATAAAATCAGATGCCTGATATTTCGCACAATACTTTTAAACTGTAGCTAGACAGGCATATAGGTTCAACAACTTAACAGGATGGAAATGCACATGTTCATGAAGTATTTTTACCAGAATCCTGCCTAGTTAACTTTATAAAATTGCCCCTTTTGACAAGAAACAGTGTAATATTGACAGTTCATTCTAATTTTTGTGCATATTTCTTAACATTTAAGAAAACTAGAAAAAGGAAAATTTGGCAATTGAGTGTTTCTGCTTTAGTTATTTTTTTTTTTACTTTAATTCATCTCTCAAATAAAAGACGAAGAATCACTTATTTATTTACTTTATTAAGTCACACGCTATTCTAGATGGTAGTAAATACATCTCAGTGAGTTATAATTTGTTATCTTGTCAAGATTTCCTTCTAGTTTCTTTCGTGGTCAAGATTTCTGTGGATTAAGTTCTCTGTCCTCCCAAAGTCCTATTTTCAATGTTTTCATTAACCTTGAGCAAGTTTCATAATGCTATTCTTGAAAATATCTGTCTTTAAAATGTCTTTCTAATATTTCTCTATTATGTGTGCTTGGGTTTATGTTTCCTGTGGAGGTGGGGTGAGTATGTCATGGCAAGTGTGGAGGTGAGCACAACTTTTTGAAGCCACTTATCTCATTATACCTTTATATGGGTTCTCCAGCTCAAACTCAAGATTGCCAGGCTTGCTCAGCAAGTGCTTTACCCAGAGAGCTGGCTTGCTGGGCCACACACTATTTCTGCCATGACTAATCACTTAAATGTATGCAACTAATTAATAGATCTGAACTTTCTGTCCTGTGCACAATAGCAGACGCCTCCTCACCACCTTCTCTCCCTGTGTTTCCACTGAAGTTTCGTTGGGTTGAGCCTAATAGTCCTGTTGGTTTTCTATGCAGGGAAGGCTATGGGGCTGTGTTACCGGAAGTAGCTTCAGTTTAGAATCCCCTGAGAACTTGGTATGTGAAAAACAGATCAGCTTAGAATAGTAGCCTGGTGTCTTTCCTCTGAAATCTCCCCCAGGGACTTTCCTGGCTCTGGATCCCACACCCTGGCTGTGACCATAATCGGAGGCTGTCTTAGTTTGCAACCTCACTATTTCTTTGTCACACTTTGTTACTGGGAGGATATGTTGAACATCCTTTGTTTAATTGTTTTAGTCCTTTTTTCTTTGCTCAACGTTTTTCATATACTGTATTCTAATCATATTTCCCCTAGGCCCATGGCCTATCTTGTCTCGTATTCTTGCCCCCTTAGTGACAGGAGCAGGATGATTCTATTTCAGATCTCTTCCAGTGGCAGTCTTTCTTTCTGACTATAGAATAAATTCCTCATTTCAGAAAAAAAAAATTTCTGCTTTTGTATCCTTGAATTGGTTTCTGTTACACTCTGCTTTCTCCTGCTGGGAACCTATTTTCTTTCATTGGATCTCCTTTTGACAATGCATTTCCAATATGTCCTTCAGTTACTGTATTAGCTGAGCTTCTCCCAGTGGCTGTCTCCCAAGAGAAAGTAAAAAAATTGGGATCAGTGTTCAGACCATGAGGCTGAATTTCTCAGCTGGTCTTCAGAATACACCAGAATCCTGACGAAACAGGCTCTAACGCCAGTGAGGAAGGAGCTTCCCAGTGAGAGTGAGGGCAAGCAGGCAAAGAACAATTGTCTTCTATGTCCTTTAGAGGGGCAGCCACCAGGAGGTGTGGCTCAGACTTAATTAAGATGGATATTCCTATCTCAAACGATCCGTTCAAGGAAAATTAGTACCCAGCTGCTTGTGTTTTGGTTAAATCCAGATGTAGTCAAGTTGAGAGCCGAGAATAGCCATCACAGTTGTTTTATGTGGTTTGTATTTCCACATGTATTTGCTGTGCTTTTCTTGAAGCTTAAATTCTGTCAGAATTTTAAAAACCAGTTCACTAACAACATGGCTTTAACTTTTTCTTTGTATCATTGATAGAACTTCTGAATTTATTTCAAGCTTTTAGACAATTTGTAGAAGAGAATAAAAATGCAACAAATTCATGGATATATGCATGTTCTGAGGCAGAGGGAGAGAAGGAAAGGGAGAGAGAGGGAAGGAAGAAATATGGAGCGGGGCAAGGAGAGTAGAGTGAGAGAATGCATTTTGTTTTTTCATACTTTTTAGATCCGTTTGAAAGTTAGTTACAAACATTGTGACTTTACCGAAAATCATGTCCCAGTGTGCATCTCCGTGAACAAGAACACCTCCTAACCAGGGATGCTGACATGCTGAGTCAGTCAGTTAACATGATGGAGAAGATGCTTCTCTATTGCACATGACATGTTTAACAGTACTGTCCTAACACTTCCTAGAGCTCACTATTTCTCTGGTATAAGAGCCAATGGAGCAAAAAGTAGCCATTTAATTTGTTTTGTTATGTTGGATCTTTGAGATTAGTTTTGTTGTTGTTAAAAATAGTTTGTTTTATTTCTTTTGTAGGCAAGGGATTTGTGTGGAATATTTTTATGATCTTAAAGTGTGTTTCTGCCAAATTATTCTTTTTAGTTATTAGTAGTATTATTGACACAAGGTGTTGCCATAGAGCCCAGCCTGGTCAGAAGATTGCTACGTAGTTCAGTTCTTCTTGGAATTAAGCATCTTCCTGCCTCTTCCTCAGACTCTCTAGTGTTGGGATTACAGGTATATAGTGCAATGCGTAGCTTTGGGTTAATCTTTAATTTATCAATGCATCATAGCACTGATTCTTGGGTTCTCTTATATTGGCACAGTCAGTTGGTATGCCCTGTCTTTGTATGTGACTTTGTGCCTTTTGTGATCATCCTGAAATAAAGGAACCTGAAATCTTCTGCTTTGCAGTGATATCAGTCTTCCATTTGGTTCTGCTGTCTGAAGTTGGGTGTTGTCCTTTCAGCTCAAAGGCTGAGTAGGGGAGAAGAGAAGAGCTCAAATCAAAGAATTAGATGTTGTAGCATAACCACTTGAGTTAAAGAAACTTGGGTCTAGTACCAATTTTTAATGTATAGTGAACAACTATTTTTCTGTGGATGCTCATTTTTCTAATTTAACAATGGTGGTGATATTCCTTTTTAATATAACCCAAACTTTTAAGAGTTTTGTTTCATAGTAAATCTTATCAAGAGTCCTCAAATATAAATGAGATTAGATGACTCTGATTGCTTTGGGATTGTGGGGAAGAACTTCATCTCAAACTTAATTTATCTAAGTGTATCATAATTCGAAAATCACTGAGCTAAATAATTTTAAGAAAGTTTCAATCTGTAAATATATTGAGGTCTATCTTTCAGGGGGAACAATGTAATTTAGTTTCAGTGGGGAAATCTGCTTGCTCAAAAACCGAAAGTTACTATTAACCATGAAAAACTAAATATTTTTAAGTCTAGTGTGAGAATATTGTTTTAGTGTTCATTCCTTGCAACTAGGTAGTTAACTATTTGACATGTTTGTAAAAGGGAAGAGAACAGCATCTGGTGATGGTGGTGGCAGCCTAAATAGTCATCATAATGTGTTACAATAACTTAGATGGCTTAATGGGCTGGGGATGTAGTTTACTTGGTAGAGTGCTAACATATACAAAACTCTGGATTCTAAATCTAGTACCTCACAAACAGGACACAGTGAGTCACATCTGTAATCACAGCACTCAGCTGGTAGTGAAAAGGGAATGTGAAGTTCAAGGTCATCCTTTGCAATATATTGATCCAACCTAGGCTACTTAGACACCATATTAAAAAAGAAAGTTACATCAATGTTGGAAAGAATGCATTGAGGTCTATTATAAGAATATTTATTTCCAAACTTGGATTTAGAGTAGTTTGTATAAGATAAATTTGCCTAAACATCATTTTTTTTACATGTATTATTTGTCTACACCTAGGCCACTGAACCACAGGCAAGCAGGATGAAAAGAGAGAATACTTAAAGCTTGCCATACCCTCTCCCTTCTTCAAATACAAAGGATCATTTCCTCTAAGCAAAGGAGCCAGAAAAGAAAGGGCATTGCAGAACAAACAAAGACACAGATAATAAAGTATCTAATGTTCAGGCAAATTGAAGAACTGCATAATAATCTAGTGTTATGGAGGATTACTTCAGTTCATTTTGAATTTTGTGAATTGTCAGGGTATTTGACATATTTCACAAGTAGCATACATATTTCAAAGACCAGTATGATGATGGTGACTTGACACCATGCCTTTGTTTATTTCTTTTTCTCCTTTCCCTCCTTCCTTCTCCTCCTTTTTCCTTTTGGCGCTAGTTATAGGACCCAAGGCTTTGTCAACCAAGCATTGTACCTCTTACCCTGTGCTCCATGGAATCTCAAACCAAACTTCAACTCCTGCAAACATTAAAAAAATTGGTATGTGGTGACAAGTCTGTGTTGACCATCTTTGTGCTACTTGCCATTATGTCTGGGTAAATTCCAGCACCACAGGATGTTCACATGTTTCTTTGTGTACATGCTAGTGATATATGGAATAACATGTTTCAGATCCTTCAGAACAACTTCAAAGTCTACCCTCAGAAGATTTACAGACCTTCACCCACCATCCTCTGAACTTCAGCCAGATGTCCGAAGACCTCCTTGAGATGTCATGTGAGAATGATGCCTGTAAGACTGAGTCCAGGTAAGTTAAACCTACAGCTTCCCAAAGAAAGATGTTGGATAGAAGATCAGATGGGTTCCAAACAGTTTTCTTCATTATATAAGAAATTTGCCCACATGTGTTGGTACTTGTGCTGACCTGGTATTGTGATTTAGTGAAAGGCTTATAAAATTGTTACTTTTATTTGAAGCCATTTCTCTTCTATATAGTATCAGTTATTAGAAGGGGGCAAAGGAACTAGCAATCCTCCAGTATTATATTGAAAGACAGTTATCTTACTTGAATTAACTAGTATGATAAATTTCTACAGTTTGCATTAATAGAATCTTATCCAGTGCAAAAATGAAAGACCAGAACATTGAGAAGTTCTTTCTCTTAAAATGGACTCTAGAATTTTCCAGTGTTTTAATTTGCACAACTTTATTATTATTATTATTATTATTATTATTATTATTATTATTATTTTGCAAATGGAGATCACTTTAAAAGATATAGAGGTCAAGTTGACATGTATGAAACAAAGCAATGAGTTTGTCTATTGGTGGCACTGGCCATTTTGAAGGAGGATCCATCTTTTTGAAATAAGAAAATAAATTCAAAATAAATGTCTCTCTAATAAGTCTCTAGGATTGGCTTAAAGTCTAATGCTCAACTCAAAGGGAATAAAGAGTTTGTAACTCAGTCTTTCTGAATGCGAAAAGCTTTGCCTGAGCTCTTGAACTTTTAGCATTTCAATACAAATAACACTTTTGAAAATGAATAGTATGAAAGTACTCTTTTCCCCCTAAAATGTTATTAAAACCCAACTAACTCTATATGTGTCTTCATTGCCATTTCACAAAAGAAATTCAATACTAAAAATATGGAGGGATGAATGATACAAAGCAGGATTTATAAATAAAAGGGTCACATGATAATCAGCTGGCCCTTGTATTTTCTGCTCAGCTGGTTCACAGATGAGTTTATGGATCGCTGACTCAGCCTGCTTTGGATTTGATAAAATAATCTTTAAAGGTGCTATGTTTACCGCAGGGTGAATATTTTAATATTTGCTGGCATACATGGGCTGGAAATCCTGGTAACTTTGAACCAAAATATTTGAATGATACAGATAATTTTGTTCTCCCAAGCTATGTTATTTCTAAACCATAGACACCCACATGTTAGAGCTTTGGACTTTCCATGTCCCCCTACTGATACAACAAAACAAATCAAACAAGAGCAAAAACCAGGCAAGTAATTACTGTCATTGAATTTTAGCTTTGGTTTATCTTGAGTGACTATCCATATAGTTCTAATTTACTGTACACAAAGGAGTGATTTATCTGAATGTCTATTCATTGGGATTCTTTTAAGCAGCCAATATCATGATGAATGTTCTTAATGATGACCCTGAGGCTCTGCAGGTTTTAGAAGTTCTTTTTAATCATCAGGGAAGAACACAACTGGAGCCCATAAATATCCTTTCCCTTTGATAGGATGGTAGCTTTGTTTCTTTGAAGCAGAAAAATGATGAGAATTTCTCATTATGGGGAGACTTAGTATATCTTAGGTGCATGAAAACTTACCCCTTCAGCCTGCTTCCAATGACTTCAACCTATGTAGTATTGACCATAAGAAAAATGAAAGCTGAAACTTGGTGTCATATGCTGTGTATTGATCTTCTAATGCATTTTCAGCTCTTCTGGAAGAAACACCGAAATGCAGTCTTTGCTGTCACTTGGTGACTACAGTACAGATGAGGAAGAGGAAGATTTTCTTGTTAAGCAATGTATCACTACACTACCGTGGGCGAAGAACGTGTAACAGTTCATTACTTCTCCATTTTGTACCCAGAATAAACCAAGCAACTGAGTGATTAACTTGTGCAGGTGTTGGCGAGTATTCGCATCGCTGATGTTTTTAAGCTTGAAAAAAAAAAGGGTAGTAATGTTAAAAGCTTAAGGTCCTTTTCTTCCAGACACCATATTGTATGTCAAACATTCATCTTTATTGCAGATGACACTGGTAATGGTAAATTTATGTCAATGAAATTTACTATAGAAAAGAATACTATGGTGTTTAAGCTAATTAATGTTTCTTATTTAATTATATTTGAGAATTACATCAAAAAGTATATTCTCTATGGCCATGTCATCACATTGTCATCAACTGAGCTTAAAATTACGATGCTTTTACCTGTGATTTTTTTTTTCCCACTTTGGATGCTGAATAATGGCGGCTTCTAAAGTTTCTCTAAATTGAGACTTCTAAAGTTGACACAAAGAGGAAAATAAGATGTAAAATAAAATGGCTTTAATATTTGTTTTAGTTCCAGTACATTTTAAAAAGAGACCTCTAAGCACCTTTGTTTGGGACAATCAATGAATTAGTAGATTTCATGTGCCAGTTTGACAAGTCTGCAGTGCTCAGACATTATTACAGATGTTTCTGGGAGGCAATTTTTGATGAGAATAACAATTCCATCACAAAGGTATGGGTAAAGCAGATTATTCTGGACAATGTAGATGGGACTCAAACACCTTAAGAATAAATAATTTCCTCTAAAGGAGATAAAATTATGCCTTTGGTCTCCCTTCTGGCAACAGCTTTACCTGCAGTTCTTCTTTGGGTCTCCAACCTGCTCATTGGCAATTTTGAGTTAGCGGTGCATCTTTATGAATTGATTGCCCCCCCTCCCCACACACACATGAAGTTCCACCACCACCTATGTGGTTCCTATGTCTCTAGACAACCCTAATATAGGCTGTTTGAAAGGTGGTCATTGCTGTAAGAGGACATAACCTATTGTCTGTTTCCTGCTGCTCTTCCCTAGATCTAGATGTTGAGATTTGTGACTGTTGGGAGATTTTTATGTAATATTGAAGCTGACATATTCAAGAAATGGCAAGGAAAGACATGGGGGGTAGCATAGTGGTTGATATTTTCTGTCCTTTTATCCTTTTACAGCAGTTTCTCCTGATTTTTTGAGTTTGTTGATTTAAGAAAAAGTATTGCTGTTTGGTTGTGTTTCTACCAAATATATTTACTTATTCATGTTTGATCCTCTTTTTCATGTGTTATTGAATTCAGTTTTTTTTAAATATTTTGCTATGAATTTTTATGTCTGTGTATATCAGGGAAGTTGGTCTATAATTCTCTACTTTGGGGACTTTATGAAGTTTAGTGATCAGGGTAACTGTAGCCTCAAAAAAATAAATTGGGCAATATTTCTTATGTTATTATTTTTGAAATAATTTGAGGAATATTGGCACTAATTCATCTCTGAAAGTCTGGTAGAATTCTGCCCTAAAATCACCTAGCCCTGGGACTTATTTGGTTGATAGACTTTTAATTATTGCTGGAGGTCTGTTTAAATTACTAATCTGATATTGACTTAACTTTGGTAAGTGGTACGTATCAAGAGAAATTTCCATTTCTTTTAGATTTTCAATTTGGTGTACAGGTTTTTAGAGGCTGCCCTTATGATTCAATGGATTTTCTCGGTGTCTGTAGTTATGTACCTATTTTATTGATTTTATCAAATAACCAGCTATTTGTTTCATTGATTATTTTTATTGTATTGTGTTGTATTGTATTGTATTGTTTGTTTTAATTTTATTCATTTCAGCCCTGAGTTTAATTTCTTACCATCAACTCCTTTTAGGTATGATTTCTTCTTTGTTTTCTAGAGCTTTGAGCTGTGATGTTAAGTTACTAGTACAAGATCTCTCCAAATTATAGAATGTAGGCACTTAGTGCTATGGACTTGCCTCTTTGAACTACCCTCATTGTGTTCCTTAAATTTGGGTATGTTGTTTTTCATATTTATTCAGTTCTAGAAAGTCTTTGATTTCTTAACTTCTGTTTTGACCACTTTTTCATCCAGGAGTGAGTTGTTCAGTTTCCATGAGTTTGTAACCTTCCTGTTGTTTATGTTGTTAGTATCTAGCTTTAACCCATAGTGGTCAGATAGGATACAAAGTGTTAGCTCCAGCATTTCTCTATTTAGTTTTTGTATGGATTGCCTGATTATTAGTGGGAGTGTGTTATTAAGGTATCCCTCTATCAGTGTAAGAGGGTCAATATGTGATTTAAGCTGCCATAGCATTACTTCTATAACCTTGAGTGACCTTGTGTTCGAGGTTCAGAGATGTTAAGAATTATAATATTGTCTTGGAAGAATTTTCCTTTCTTGAGTACGTAGTATCCTTTCCTATCTCTTACTAGTTTGAGTTTGAAGTCTATTTTGTCAGATATTAAATCGCTAAATTGTCTTGCTTCTTGGGTCCATTTGCTTTGGTTACCTTTTCCCATCATTTTACATTCAGATGATATCTATCCTTGATGTTAAGGTGTACTTTTGAGATACAGCAGAAGAATAGTTCCTGTTTTTATGTCCTTTCTGTTAGTCTGTGTCTTTTTATTTAGAAATTGACACCATTAATATAGAGAGTCATCAATCAGCAGTGTGTATTGGTTTCTGTTAATTTTGTTATTGAGGTGTGGTTTTTTTCCCTATTTATATGCTGATCTAAGATGATTGATTCCTTGTGTTCTCTTGCATATGGTTATTCTCTGCTGATTGAAGTTTTTCACTTTGGTGCCTTCTGTAGTGCTGGATTTGTAGATATACTCCTTAAATTGGATTTTATCTTGGAGTGTCTTTCTTCATTTATCTTGATTCCTGGGTATAGTAATCTGGGATGGCATACATGGTCCCTTATTGTGTATAGAACATTTGTCTAGGCCTTCTGGTTTTAAGAGTCTCCCTTGAAAAGTCAGATGTTATTCTAATTGGTCTGCCTTTATATGTTACTTGGTCTTATTCCCTTGTGGTTTTTAATATTATTCTTTGTTCTGTAAGTTTAGTGTTTAGATTATGATATGCTGAGGGAATTTCTTTTCTGATCTAGTCTATTGGATATTCATTATGCTTCTTGTACCTGATAAACATCTCATTCTGCAACATAGCAGGATACAAGATCAACTCAAAAAAATCAGTAGCCCTCCTATATACAATTGACAAAGAGGCTGAGAAGGAAATTAGAGATACACCACCCTTTACAATAGCCACAAATGACATAAAATACCTTGGGGTAACACTAACCCAGCAAGTGAAGGACCGATATGACAAGAACTTTAAGTCTCTGAAAAAAGAAATTGAAGAAGATATCAGAAAATGGAAAGATATCCCATGCTCATGGATAGGCAGGACTAACACAGTAAAAATGGCAATTTTACCAAAAGCAATCTACAGATTCAATGCAATCCCCATCAAAATACCAACACAATTCTTCACAGACCTGGAAAGAATAATACTCAACTTCATATGGAAAAACAAAAAACCCAGGATAGCCAAAAGAATCCTGTACAATAAAACAACCTCTGGAGGCATCACGACCTCTGACTTCAAGCTCTACTATAGAGCTACAGTAATAAAAACAGCTTGGTACTCATTCTTTAAGTTAGGGAAATTTTCTTCTACATTTTTGGTTGAAAATACTGTCTGTGCCTTTGATCTGGGTTTCTTCTCCTTCTTTTATTCCTATTACTCATAGATTTCATTTTTTTGTAGTGATCCAGATTTCCTGGATGTTTTGTGCCTGGAAGATTTTATATTTAACATTTTCTTTGAGAGAGTTATAGATTCCTCTATCTTGTCTTCAATGCCTGAGTTTCTCTCTTCCATCTCTTGTATTCTCTTGTTGATGCTTGCATCCAAGCCTTCTTTAAAATCCTAAAATTTTCATTTCCATATTTCTTTCAGTTTGGTATTCCTTTATTGATTTTATTTCTACTTTCAGGTCTTATTTTTTTTTAATTTTTTTTTTCATTTCCTTCTACTGCCTGTTTGTCTTTTTATAGAATTCTCCAGGGGATTTATTCATTCCTCTTTGAAGATTTCTATCATATTCATAAAGGGATCGTCATTAAGGCCCTTGTCTTGTACTTCAGTTATTTTGTATTTCTCAGGGTCTACTGTAATAGGATTTCTAGACTCTAGAGAAGACATATTTTCTTGGCTCTTATTGATTGTATTTTTAATGCTGGAGTCTTGGCATCTGGGTTTGGGATCATTGTCAGGCTGTGCTAATATCTGGTCCTGTCTTTGTTGGGTTGATGTTTTATTCATTGGTTTCTGTTGCCTTCTCTCATTCTTAAGAGAGTGTATTTGCTGTGTATCGCCTGGTAGGGCATTCTTCTGGGTTTGTGCCAGGTGTGGCTACTGGGGTTTCTGATTAGAATGTGTACTGATAACTAATTTTTAAGAATGGGCATCAGCTGAAAGCTGGGGTGGGGTTGAGGTGGTCCATGGTCTCCAGGAAGAGGGAGGAATGCAGGTTGTTTCAATGGAATCTGCCTATTCTCCTGGGAATGGGGGTAGAGAGTGAGGAGAGGCCACAGGAGTTGATCTGTTACAGATCTGGGGATAAGATTGCTAGGATTTCATTTGGAGGAGAGGAGGGAAAGTGAAAATCTGAAGCTTGCCTTTCAGCTTAGCTGGCCTGCTTACATCTCTGGCAGGGTTGGCTGGGGCTTTGCAGGGAATCACCTGTTGTAATTGGAGGCTAGGACAAATGGATGAGTATGAGAAAAGGATGGAGAATGTCTGTTGGGCATGAGAGCAGGGAGGGAGAAGAGGTCTCACCAGGTGGTCTGCTATTGAGCTGGGGGCAACACAGGGGTTTGGGGGAGGATTGGATTTGGAAAAGCTGAGTGAACATCTGCTGGAAGCCTACCTCTTTGGGCAGTAATTTTTATTTTTCTCTTATCATGTCTGCTTTCACAATTCCACAGACACAGCAGTGTGTCTTCCCTCAAATCATCATAGTTTATGTCAAAAGCCCTTCTGGCATCTCTCCTACTGCCACTGGCCTTCTGAGTTTTAGTATCTGTAAGTCAAAATATGTTTTGCAACTTTGTCTTTTAAGGTAGAAAAACACTTCTTTTTAGCATGTTAGCTCATGCATAAGGATTTTTGACTGTCCTTTCCAGCCTTTCCCCAAAATTATAATTTTTAATGAAGAACAAAATTGTTCCCCCAGATATGATTTCTAAAACTCTGTGATTTTCTCAGGAAAAGTAAAAGTGGTTTCTTATTTATCTTGGAGAGTTGTATCACTCCTATGCCTTTCATGTGGTCAGCCATGGTGTTAATCTTTTATGTACTGATTTTGAGGATGTTGTATTAGCTTTTCCTGGAGTTACATGAACAGACGTCTATATTCCTCACATGGGGTCCCAATGTCAAACAAGAATAACAGTTCCATCTAAGTACTACTTGGTGAATGAATAAGTTTAATAGGATTACCTGAAGATTAGGGATGAGGATTTAATTTTACAATTGTTAGTGATCTGAAAGCTTCATTACAGTCAAGTCCCATACCTTCTTGGAAGAAGGCCTTATGGAAGTTCCATCATTGAGCTCTTCACTTTAGTCTTACTTCCCATGTCCTGTTGTTGCAGAGTTCAACATCACTGGAAAGACCACCCTGACCACCAACTTTTAACACACAAATTTTATTTAAGCTCCATCTGACCACAAACCCTTGGTCAGATCCAGGACTGCAGGGACCATGGCCCTTACAGAAGCCAGGAAGTGGTTTTTATAGGCAAAAACTGCAATTACACAAATATTTAATTCTTGAAGACATGCACTTTTGCAGACATGAAATAGCATCACAGGTCTTTTGTAAGCAGTCATTAAGGAACTATACAGAAGCCAGAATAAGCTGTTAGCTAACCATTTTATGAGAGTTACACATTCCTGGGAAAGAGCAAAGGGGTTGTAGTGGTCAGCATTTCCTCAAACAGTTTTAATAGGCTTCACTCCCTGGTATTGTTTTAACAGACTCAACCTCTAAGGTGGTTTGGTCAAAATGGAGTTAGTTTAGCTGCTACACTGTAACATCTCTCAAGATCTTTAGCAGCTTTTTGCTGTTGTTCTCATAGCGGAGCCTTCAGCTTCTAGGCTTTGGGCCCAGGGGTACAATTCTGCACCCCCACACCACTACCCATTGCAGTTCCAGTTTCAGGCCAGCAGACAGGTCTCCAGCAGAC